TGCAGACAGATTTACAAAAACTATGGAATACCATAAAGGACACAGAAGGTTCAAAATTATTTTGGTAATAAAGGTATTGAGTGGAAATTCAATATGGAGAAGGTGGCTTGGTGGGGCGGTTTCTGGGAAAGGCTTTTTAGATCTATCAAGTCATGTTTGAAGAAAATATTCATGAAGGCTTCACTTAAATTTGAAGAGCTGGAAACAGTTTTAATTGAAATTGAGGCGATATTGAATTCAAGCCACTGACTTATGTTTATAGTGAAGTTGGAGAACCAGAACCGCTGACGCCAGCTCATTTTCTAGTTGGACGAAGACTGACATCCTTACCATCTGGAAAATTCTTGAACCTGATTTCAACTAAAGAAAATTTAACAAGGCGATATAAATACAAGGCGATAATAAGGTTATTAGAAGAGTTTTGGAAAAGATGGAAAAGGAGAATACTTACTTGAAATTAGAAACGTTAAAACAAATTCAGAGAGGTAATGCCGGTAACAGATCTTTTGAAAGGCTCTGTACATAAGAAAAATTACCAAGATTATTATGGAAGATGGGAGTTGTACAGGAGTGTCATCCAGGACGAGATGGAAAATAAGGGCTTGCACTGTCCGTTTAGCTAATGGAACTCATCTTCGTCGCCCTGTGCAGTTATTGTACCCATTAGAAATGACTTGAAACTCTTTGAACTGAATACAATGAACGTAATTGCGACACTGCATCTATGAACATTTATAAAAAGTCAATCTTTTTCTTTCCCAAAAAGCCATTTTAATCTTGAGCTTGTGCCTTTGTTCCACACTCAATTTCTATATTAGAATTTCAACACTAATCAAAAAAATGCTACTGAGATTATCATTATTAATTAACCCACGGTTTTACAAACATCGTATGATCTGAATCTTAATATAACAGAATTCGTATGCTCAGTACTACAATTTTCAAACGCTTGGAATTCCTTAATTTATTAAAATCTAATACACATATGGCACATTTACATAATTAACGAATTGGTTTTAAAGTTTTTACCTGAGTATACACTAATAAAAACAGTTAAGTAATTCAATCACAACTCATACAATTAGTATACAATAAACCCAACATCAGTAAACAATCCAATTAAATAAAATTTCACTGTACTTAATTCAGTAAATCTCAGTTTTCGCAAATACATAGTGCTGATGTGTTTTATACATTAAAAAAAAACATATAAAATTGTCAATAGTTCTTATACTGTTAATAACAATAAACTAATATACATTATTCCAACATATTTTTGTTGGATCTTACATTAAAAATGTCAAAGCGGACTATGAATAACCACAGTAAAATACTTTCAGTTTTCTATGCTACTGAATCTCAACCTTATTATTCAATAGCAAATTGTTATGAGCAATCATTATGAACTAACACCATAAAATACCATAACTACGATTAAAATGCATGCAAGGAAGAAATGTTAACTTTACAAATTAACTACTTAGGATAGTCCTGCCTTAATGTAAAATCAAGTACTTACCCCCGTTGATGACTTATTAGGTGAAGATTCACTGCCTATAGCTATTCACACGATCTCGGAATCACAAGATTCCCACTACACAGAATTTATGGACTTCTATAGAAGGGCTGACTCTTCCTTCACAACATGGAACTTTAACGTATAACGTAAAATCAGATGACTTTTGATGAAGAAAACTCATTGTTCAAACCGTGGCGGTTCTCTGAACTATCACTAGATCAACCGAAGAAGAATGGAAAATTACACACAAAAATCTGGATGATTTTTGATGAAGAAAACTCTTTGTGCAGAACCGTGGCGGTTCTCTAAAATATCACTTAGATCAAACGAAGAAACTGGAATCAGGATGATTCATACGACGTGAAAATCAGGATGGTTTTCGAGACATCCTTATTTCATATAGATCAACATCAGAACTTGAGCTGATTTTTAAACTGCACAGAATGACCTGGGTGCTGTTAAAACTTCATTGAATCAGGATGATTCGAAACTGCAAACCTCTTAGAATCAGGATGGTTCTACTCAACTGTGTCGAATTCAAGCATCAGTTCTTCGTTTGACTAGTGAGCCTTTTAAAATCCCACAACCGCTGCCACCATTTGTACCATAGTCGTATCTCCGTCAAATAAACACGACCTGTTCTAGGCTAAATATTTATCTTTATATACAACTATGTACAGATTACAATTTAGAAATACTTTAAAACACATTTTCACTTCATTAGAGCACGTTCAAACTAGTGTCTGCTCTTTTCGCTTTCACATCTCAATCTCTCCTTACTCCCACCTGCAACCAGGGGGGAAGTCAACTCCCCTCTTCCGGCCGAGGCGAGAAGAGGGTTCTCTGTCCCTCCTTTTAGGGTGGGTGACCAAGTGTTCTTCAGAGAAGGGGAACGTTACACCACTGTTTTTGTCATTTAACTGTATAAACATCACTTGCTTTACTTACGCCACACAAAATTCAACAGTAAAATAAAAAAGTTTGTAAAAGCAGCATACTTTTAAAATTCATGATAAGATAGATATTAAACGTTTCCATACAGATTTTTTTTTTAATTTTTTCAGTCTTTTCTCAGTTCATTATATCAATGTTCAGTTTTCTTAACAAAATGACTTTTCTTAACAAACTGTTTTGTCTTTTTAATTTTATTATTAAAAATCGCTTTCTTCGCCCTTACTCCACATAGAATTCCACAGCAAACTCATTTTTTTTAAAAAAAGCAGCATGTGTTTAGAATTCCCGATATAGTATTAAGTGTTGTCATTATTTTTTCAGTCTTTTTTTTATCCAGTCCATCATAATCAATGTTCAGTTTTCTTAATAAGATGGCTTACACAACATTTTTTGTCCTTTTTTATTACTAACTTTTTTTTTCTTTTAACCTTTACTCTAGTGTTACTACATGTTTTTCCATATTCGCTATATTATTTTTCTAATCAGCCATGGCGATAATATTTGGGGGCAACATATTTCTTTCTGTGTTGCTATACCTTTATTAAGTTTTTTTTATGTAAATAGGACTTCATCCAGCGCTAATGCTACATCCAGCGTAAAAACTAACCGAACTTCTACATCCAGCGTAAAAACTACATCCAGCGCAAATGCTTCTAAGAAATTCATGAGGCGAAAAACACTGGGACAAGAAAATGTTTCTCATGTCATACTGAAAGTAATCCCGGGAGCATGGCATCTATAAAATGTATGGGAGAATTAAATATAAACTTAATGAAATTGTAACTCTGGCGCCAGTTTGGCGTTTAAAAAATGTAAGTGGTAATAATAAGAAAGTACTATACGTTTTTCTAGGAATAAAAAAATTATTTTGTGATAAAAACAAAGTTGACATTCAAAGCATATAGTACTATAAAATTTTCTGTCAATTGATGTGTAATTTTTGTATCATATAAAGTATCTGCTTTTAAAATAATTATTAAAGATAGTCATCAATTTTGACAAGGCTACCATCAAGATTGAGTGAGAATTTTTTTATTTTTAAATTTAAAATTTTAAGTTCAAATAAATTTTTGAAAAAAGCTAAACTGAAATTGATTTTCCACTCAAACTGTACCATCTATTAATTTTAACCATTACATGATAGCATGCAAGAGTTTAATTATGTAATCATCACAGTACTCCGGCCTAGCCTCTGACGAATGTGATAATAAAATTTCTAATTATTCACAGGTCTTAATGATTTAAGTATTAAACACTAAATTTCAATATTAGTTCAGAGTTTACTAGCATGATAGCACTTGAAATGTTACAAAGAAATGAAGAACTGAACAAATTGGTGAGGAAAAAAATTGTATAGTTCCATAGTTCACAATTCTCTGGTAAGAGTTCAAATGTTCGATAGATGCATGATGATTCATTATAAAAACAAACTTGTGCAGGGAGCTCTTGACGATGGAAAAACATGATACAGAAAGAATGAGAATATAAGGTAAATGGGATCGGAATAGCAACTGAAAAATACCTTAATACAGAAAGATAAATTTCAAACAGCTCCATAAGTGACTTAACTTCTACACTAGATTATTAAGAATGACCATAGGCTTCTCGAGAGAAGGTATTTTCTGGAGAGAAGTTTTTATAGTTATCTATTGGGATGATGCTATTGTTATTTTTGCTGGAGCTTAGATGAAAACTGGGTACTGCAGGAAATGCATTAACTTGGGAACTTTTAAGCTTCTAAAGTGTTAAAGCACTTAATTCTATGAACGATCAATAGTCTTGGTCTTGAACTACGTATTTATACACACTCCTGCGTGTTAAATATTGCTACTGAGAAAATTTAATAAAATGTTCGAAACAACAATATTTTGTGAAAACGAATATGGCAAATAGGAAGCATCGATGCATTGACAAAGTGTGTAGCATACTAATATCGCAAAGCAAGCAGTCGGACCGGTATTCACTGGCCTATAGGCGTTCGACAACTTTGGACGAAAACTAGTTCAACAGATATGAATTTTTTAACCGTTATATATATCACTTCATAATATTTAATACTTCTGTTTCATCAGTTTTCTTGCTAAATTTGACATCTCGAAATAATCAAAAGCTGATACTCATGGGCTCTAGTATATTAGGTGTCGTTTCTTATCGGATTCTTATTAAATACGGTTTCTGAATCGACAAAGATATCCATATATAATGAATGTGAGCCAGGCCTTTGCGTTATGATAGTGAAAGTTGAAGAAATATTTTGATTATTTAAATTAGTTCAGCTGTAATTGAAAGTAAAACATTTGCCTGTTACATTAATTATTATAATCTTTCAGATTGTTTGAAGAAATATAGGATGAAATTTAAGATTTTAATTTGAATAAAATTAACATAAAATATTTATTTTTTGTAAGCATTAAGGCTGTTCTCCGAACAATATCCGCGTAGTTTAACGCTCTCTTACCCAACCAATCCAATTTCCATGTACATGAATATTTAAAGAACTGAAAGGAAACGAATTTGTTTTGCTTTTAGATTTCGTCTGTTTGCAGTATGGGCGCGCTGTGGTCAAAATGTTAGGCATTAGTTGTAAATAAGAGTTAAGATTTAGTTTTGAATTCGAAAAGCTGAAATGCAGTTATATTATGGTTAGTTTAAATCATTTGTTTTTCCCAATGGTAAAGTGTTACGATTTAATTCCGAAAGTTTTCTTTCATGATATGACATTTCAAGGCTTGGCTGGTACCAGATTCACATATTTCAATGAAGATGAAAACGTGACACCTTCACCACGACTACTTCATGTAGCAGCTCTTCAAGGGAGTGTTAAATTATTAAAAATAGTTCTAGATGCCGGAATACCAGTGGACGTTAGAGATGAAGTAAGTCTGATTATGTGCTTTTAATTACTATGTTTTCTTTTACAGTTTCTTAAACGGCTATTTTCTGGAACATTATTATCTTGTGGGAGCCTTATATTTCAAACTGCTTGCTATAAGGAATAAGTTTTTTTTTTATATATATATATATAATATGTTTTAGGAAGGAACAACAGCCTTAATTTTAGCCTGCAGATACAATAATTATAAGTGTGCCAAAATTCTTTTGAAGCAAGGAGCTGATCCTATGGCTCAAAGACTAGTAAGTATTTTTGATATCTGCTGATTATCTGTATTTTCAGTTGCAATATATGATATGTATCTTTAGTGTATTTTCAAGCATACATGTGACAGTAGCCAAAACATACATGTGCATAAAACACACATTTCAGTGTACATGAGTTTACATGTTTTATATTTGTCATTTCACTGATGGTATCCAGCAGCTGTAAAAATATAAGCATTGACTACATAAATGTTTGCTTTTTTCCATAATATTTATTGTTTCTTTTAATTTTTCTCCCCATGATTGTCTATAAACAGAGCAGTGCCTATTAGCCATAAAGATACCAGATAATTATTTTTACAATTCACAAAGTCACCAAAGAATTGTCACCATTCGTGGCAGTGGAGGTAATCAAAGATAAATTCATACTTTTTTACTGAGTTAATACTGATGATACATCCTTTAATGTCTGCTGTTAGTGAAATTAGCTGTGCATTTTATCAGACAAAAAACTATGTGACAACAGTGGCCAAGCTGCTGAAACTTAAAAATAAGGGTAGTTCCAGATTTAGTTCCTGGTAACTAAGAAGGTTGCCTTCATATATTTTTACCATTTTCTGTTAATTGAACATAAACAGAAGTCAGTTTCTCACAAAATGTTTTCCAGAAAGGCCTTTCCATATTCTGCCATAATTTTAAGTAATTTATTCAAACTTCTGAATGAAAATTAAAATTTAATATTAAGAATAGGTTTAGAAAAAATGCAAAATAATGTCTTTTGTCATGCATTTTTTTTTTTTTTTTTTTTTTTTTTTGGTTAATATATCAACAACTTTGGTTAAATGCTAAAATTTTAACAATGAACTAATTACAGTACTTTTCTGCTATCTGGGCCAAATTCAGAAAAGTGTGTATGTATGTATGTATGCAAGTATGTATATATATGTGTGTATGTGTGTATCAACACATACATATATGCATTTCTGAATGGATCCTCTTCACACAAATGTACCCTAATTATTTTTCACATTTTTAAGATTACATTTATTGCTTGCTTGTTCATATACATTTATGTTAATAAAAAAATTGGTTAGTCTGTATTTAAGGGTGTCTCTTGGATTATCGCAAGTTGTTTCATTTATCACCAAATTGTTTCGTTTATGGTAAGCAGAGTAGTTAAATGTTATGGAAACCCTATTAAGACCATATCACACGGTGTTTGTTTCACACGAATAACTGTTTTGAACAATTTTTCTGCCTGGTTTACTATTGAAAGAAAGACGTACAACTTTTTCCTTTCTTTCCAAAAAAAATTGTTGTTCATTTTCAACCAATCAGCTATCAACTTGTTTGTAATGGGAAACCAAATTTCCCTGTGTTAACCCCAAAGCGATCTATGATGATTGGCTGTTGCGACAAAATAGAAAATTTGTTCCAGTTGTTCTTCCGAAACAAACCGACGTGTGATAGCAGCCTTATGACGTGATTGCGGGAAATTTGACTGATGGGAAAATATTTGCTGGCTGTCACTTAGGATGTACGTCGTGTATTGTGTGCTGTGCATTATAAAATGGCTGCTGCTGATAAAGTGGGTGTTTGTTGGTATAGAAAGAGAGAGCGGAATGTGTTTTTTTTTAAGTGGTTGAGGACAGAAGAAAAGAAACTTTGTTGGATGTAATTCAACGGAATTATAAGTGTCCTGTGTGTATGAAGGAAATGCGTGTAGTCAAACGTCAGAGGATACTGGCACTATAGAGGATACTTTTTACTCTTATTTTTGTGAATTTATTTGGCAACGCCAGTATATAGAGATTAGTTCAGATAATTTTAGGGAGTTTTTGGATGCTGTTAAGGAATTTTGTTTGACTGAAGATACAGAAATTTCTAAGTGAGGTAAGTGGATATTTTCTTTGTGTAGTGCTAATATGAATTTCCGGTACTATTCGGTTTCGAGGACCGTAAAAATATTGCAGTGAAAATGTATGCGCAAAAGCGCCAAATCTAGCAAACGCGCCGATTCAACAGCGCACCAAATCTCGCATACACGTTGATTTCAGATTGCGTAAGTTTATATAGTTCTATATTTCTTAAGATGCTATTGAAATACTAGTTTAATTTTTAAATCCTTTTTTGATATCCTATGGATTTAACAATTTGGGAATTGCCCATGACGAAAAGTCGGCAATAGAATTTTGGGTAAAGTGCAGAATCACCCACTGCTTGACGCGTTTTCAAGAATTGCACATACTCGGTATCCATGTGCACATCGACCTATTTTTGCTTTAAAAAAATCCTAGAATTGCACAAAATGGCACTGCGCACACCCTCCCTTGACTTTTATCTATGTACACATCGACCTTATTTCACTTAAAAGTCAAAGAAAAATTGGCAAAATCCAGTTTGTTTTACCCTTGTAAAAAGCGGCAAACAAATAAGTGAGCGATTCTGCACTTTACCGAGAATATTTTCAAAGAAAAGGCATCATTCCTTATAGAAAATTACGTTTGAACAACCAACGAGATGAAATTATCTTAGCGATAAGTTGGTAGCGAAAATAGCGATGCAGGCGTCCATTCAGTTATGCTTAGCAATTTTTATATAACTTATAACAATGATCTGAAATAGTTAATTACTCTTATGCTTACCATTCAGTCATGTTTAGCCTTTTTCATATAAATTATAATAATAAAAAGTATTATATGAAATTAACCTTTCATCTAAATTAACACATCAATCTTAGATAGTTATTTACTATTACATTTCCTTTCTTGCGTTAGGGTTGACGCAATTATTAGGGTTGCCGAAATTATTTTTGGCAGCATTGGCATCAACAGTAGTTTGGCAATTTTTTACGGCCCTCTAAACCGAATAGTACCGTATTTCCTTTTTTATGTTATTTTATTGTTTGATTTAAAATGTAGTTTATTGAGATTATATATTTTTTGTTTGGCTCTAGTATAGAATTAGTTGCTCCTTTGACTTTTTAAGTGAAAATAGAAAGTACATGAACAAAGGGAGTGCACAGTGGCAAGCTTGTGCAATTCTCTGATGTTTTTTAAAGTGAAAATAAGTCGATGTGTACATAGATACCGAGTTTGTGCAATTATTTGACTTTTTATTTTGGCTTTGTGTAGTGGTAATTTTTGATGCAAAATTCACCGCTACAGAAAGCCAAAATAACAAGTCAAAAAATTGCACAGTGTCCCTCTATTGCCAGTTTTCGCCAATAGACACCCATAAATATATTTTTAACCTAAATTTAGTAAAAGTTCAGAGAATATTTCATGTTTTCAAGGAATAAAACTTATTTAGACTATAGATATTTATGACCTGTTATAAATTAAAATTTAACTCTAGAACGTAACACAGCATAATTTTATCTACATTGAAAGTCTACTCTTTTGACAAAAGGTAAATCTATGATTTAAGTCGATTCATGCTTTCTTTCTTTCTATCTAATTTAATTTTTAAAAATTAATTACACTCCATAGTATTTTATATCATTTTGACATTGTCAAAATATGAATATTTACTTCATTTAAAACACTTCTGTAATTGGAAGTGTATGCCTATGATTAATGATTACAAGAATAAAGGCCTGGTAAGGTCTTTAAGCTTTATAAGAGGGATGGCTGTATATGTATACATGCATTTTTAATACTACTAATTGTAATAAAAAAGAGAGGTGTAAGGCTAAATGGTATAACAGTCCCATATACAAAATTTCAACATTCTATTGCTAATCATTTTTGGGTTATGCAAGATATATACATCGTGAAAAAAGTCCATTTTAAATTTGTTTGGGAAAAGGTATCCTTTACTTTTGGTAAAATTCCAACATAAATAGTTCTGAATGTTTTACTTTAAGTTCTAAATCACTCTGGAGTTCTGTAAGTTTCATCTCTAAATGCCCAGAAATATTGAACCCATTCATAGACAATAGATTAATCACTGCTTGCATATTCTCCCCTTGTATGTTCTGATCCTAGAATCTATCTTAAAATTCAACCTGAAGTTGCATAAATTGCTAAAATGTATGAGACTAGTCGGCAGTCTGAATTTTCATCATACATTCAGTTTTCAAAATGTATGAGTTAATAGTCTTGCATTTGGTATTTAAATAGTAATTTGTTTAATTTAAAAGCTTTAATGTGTTTGAACAAAATGGGTACCAGTTGTTTTTTTTTGACTGAAGCTTCAAGTTAAGTGCATTCAAACAAAAAGCTGTAACTGTAAGGAGGGCAAAATCTGCTATTCACTTTGTATTATCAAGCTAAGATACTGATATTCCCTTTGTTTTCATGAAACTCCTGGATATATCTTTAAACTCAATAATATGTTGTAGCACCTTAACCGTCAAATATGACAAATGTAGATGATATCCTGTGATCTGACACATATAATCTTTGTAGAAAACTTTTGAACTGCCAATAATTTGAACCCAAAGGCTCAGAAAAATTGTGTATAGTATTATCCCATTGACCTTGAAGCTATCACCAGCACAATTTATTGCCAATTGTGAATAAGCATGATGTAACAACACACTAATAGTATCTGCACTTTTGTTTGATGTAACCATGATTGATTCTTGGAAAACAACCTCCTACCAAACAAGGATATAAATTAAATGTTAATGCTACATTTTTCTTGCATTTTGAAAAAACAAATTATTAAAATTTAGCACCTGTCTTCTACAAAACAATAAGCAGTGAATTATTTTTTCAGAATTATGTTATATCACCATAAAAAAGTGTGCATTAATAGGCACACTATTGTACTTTATTTGAGAAAATGGTGATGCAACATTATGACTGCATTCAGTTCATGTATAGCTAGCTGGTCAAGAGAATTAACATCTGTTAAATGGGGAAAAGAAGAGATGGCCAACAAAACAGTAAAAATTGAAAAATCACCTGTGGCAAATTTGTTCCCATAGCATTCTAAATGCACAGATTCAGATAAAACTGGAGGACGTAGTAAATTAGTAGAAATTGATGAAACCCCTTTTATGGAGTGCAAAAACAAAGCACATCATATGCTGGTTGCTTATAAAATAAAGAGTCATTGGTTCCTTCAGAATTCTTCAAAACAATTGGTGCAATTTTGCAGGATCTCAGCCAACTTTCATAGTTGACAGCATAATTTGTAAGTACCAAAAATTATCAGTAACAATGTTTTTTACATTATCAAATCTGAGGTGATTTCACGCAAAGGTTCTTCCTCATAATTTATGTAGTGATAACTGATGACTACTCTAGTTCTTGTGTGAAAAGCATTAGAAGTTGATATATATTTTCAAATATTTGTGCAGAGCTGTATTTTAATAGTTGGGTGTTACTCTAAAAAGAAAGGTGTGGCATTTCCATTACCACAACTAGTTGGGTTCATTAAGGAATATTATTTCATCTATGTGTAACATTTCACTGTTATGTAGTGTGATATATACTGACACAATCGATCTTCTGCAAGCTGAGTTATTGCAAACATTGTGGCTATTAGGGGTAATAAGATATTAGAATGTGTCTTTTCTCTTGCTTGTTAATTCCATTAACAGTAGGTTATTTATGTTGTTCATTTTATCTCTTCTGCTATTGGCACACATTTCAGCTATTGTCAATGCAAGCTGTGTCATACAATAGGCCATGCAGCTCTTTCTTTTGATTATTATCTCTTATATTAGGTAGGTGTGTAGGTGTAAGCTTTGTGGCAACATAATTCTTTATTTTTGTTAGTCTCGTTTAATTGGTAATTTTTTTAGCTACCAAGTACTGTACTCTCAAATACCAAAGGTAAAGTGTTCATTTCAAGGAAAATAATTCAAAAGCATAATCCTTCGTGAAACAAAGAGAAAATGAAATGGAATATTTAATTGCTATGTTGCCATTGCACATGATGCAAAAGCAGTTTATTAAAAACCTCTTAGGGAACATAAAATATAAATCAAAAGCATTGAAAAAAAATATCTCAACACTTGAAGAAAAAAGTAGTTGCTGTCATCAAAGTAAGGGAAGATAGTAAAAACAGTAAAATTAACATTGTGACAATCATATGATTATATACTACCCATATAATGTCTTCTAAATTCATATCCTTTATTAACAAATTAAACTCTAAAATTTTTAATGATTCTGAAACAGGAGGGAAAAAGGTGACATTAAGAACAAGTCAAAAATTGAAACTAAAACTGAAATAGTATAGGGCAAAACTGAAACAACAGCAATTGGGAAGTCAACAGGTCTTAACATATTATCCCAACAATCATGAAAGTTGGCTATCATAGAATACCCACCAGTGGCTGAGCAGTAAAGTATGAATACTGATAGTTGGACCTGTGCTTGATTCCAGGTGAACGGGCTAGCTGTGTGAGTATTTTCCTGATTTTCCCAATATGTAACATGGAGCCAGTTCCCTGAGAGAGTCCTCTGCATCCCTTCCCTTAGGCAGATAGGCCTCTTGTTCTTTGTCGTAACCAAATAAACCAAAGCAAGAAGCATGAAAGTTTGTGGAAATCCTGCCAAAACTGCACCAGCCATTCCTGTAGAAGTCTAAAGGAATTGATACCCCTGTATTCAATAACTTACTTAAACAATCAGTATTCAACACACTTTTTTTGCACTTTATGAAAAGACTTGTCAGTTTCTACTTTTTTAAAGGCTCTAAGATTTTATTGGAAGTTTTGTGTGGAATGCTATATGTGTAAACTTCTTGTAAGTCATTATTCCAGTCTATTACTTTTTTGTGGGCCATATTCAGATGATCATATCATATCATGTCCATTACTGCACACTTTTTTGATAATAAGACCCCATAATTTTGAAAATAATCCTTGCTGTTCTGTAGAAAGCAGGATCCAAATTTGAGTTATTTCAATATTGTTCTTGTAAATAGTTTTAAAAAAGTTTTATTTCTGTGTTTTAAAAATATATGTTCAACGAAATGGTAATTAAATTTATTTTATAGACTGGAACGAGTAGTCTATGTTATGCTGCTCAGGGAGGTTATTTGAAAATTGTCAAGTTATTAATAAAATATGGAGCAGATATTGAAGCATGTGGAATGGTTTGTATGACTTTGTTTTAATGTATTTGTATAACTACTTTTAATTTTATTACATATACCCATTTTTGTTTTTCACACAACTAAGAAACATGTAAAAAAGTGTAACGCCAGTTTCAAAAATAGAAGATTGACTCTAAATATGAAAATATAATGCGAATTATTTGTTTTTGAACAATCATGACAAAATCTAAAAAATATTTTTATGACATTTATTCATTTAAACACATTTTTTAATTTATAAATTTATAATAGATTATTAGAAGATAATATAGTTAAAAAATTATATATGGTGACATGTTAAACAGATCCCTCCCCAACTTTCTGAAAATAAACTCATTGATACAAAAACTGAAGTTAATTTATTTCATTGCCTGAAATGCTTAAACAGTATGTTCCTACTCTAATCTAATAGAGTATGAATAATAAAGTAGAGTGAGTGTTCTTCATGGCATGATGTTAGTATAGATTTTATTTCAGTAATTTTAGTGAAAGGAAAATATTTCTAGAATATTTGTTTTATTTTAAGAGTTAAAACTCTGGAAAAAGTGTTGTCTTAAAATGACATTTTATTCCTCAAAGTAAATTTTAAGAATTTTTTTAAGATAAATTCCTACTTTAATCCTGTTGAGTCAAAAAAGATCTTGTAAAAAAAGAAAATTGGATTTTTAGTGTAATTTGAATTGAAACAAAATCCTTTTTGAAAAGTTCATATATTTTAATTTTTACATACAATAGGAGTATTAGGTATTTTGAAGTATATTTCAGTAATTTTATGCAATAAAACTATCTCAGAATTATTCAGTATCTAATGATGTAAATATTGTTATTTTTAATGTTTTATTCCAAAGCATTAAATAAATCAAGTATTAAGAATGGAGAAATTTTATAAAGTTATATATACTCATTGCCATAAAAATTTGCACATCAAGAAATAATCATAGGATCATAACGAAACTTGGCATGAGGGTACATGTCGGGTAGATATGCAAATTATTAGAAATGCCAAGTGACTGTGCAATGCCACTAGAAGGCATTGAATTTCATTCTTCTTGATAGACATGCTATTATGCTGCCATCGAAGCCAATATGGGGTCCTTGAAGTGGCTGAATCACCTAAGTCTGCCTCTTATGCATCCAATCAAAGAGAATTTTATATTTATGTAGCATATTAAACAGAGTTGTAGCTAGGGTTTTCAGCGCCTGGGGACAACTGAAGATTTCGCGCCCCCTACTGCTTGCCAAGGATGGAAAACATTTAATTCTAAAATGTTGTAACATCATTTACTAATGATGTAATTTTAAATCATTTACTAATGATTTACTAATGTTGTAACATCATCTAAGGTGCCCCTTAGATTCTGTGCCCGGGGACAGATGCCCACCTTGCCCCCCTCTAGCTACGCCCCTGATATTAAAACAAGTAGTAGCTATTTTAAATATAAACAATAGTAAGAAATTTGAGTACTTATTGTACTTTAGTGTCATTGATGAAACTGATCTTGCCAAACATTTGAGCAGAAATTTGAAGGAACAGATCTCCATTTATTCATTAAGATAATAAACAGATACAGATTGTAGAAATAACATATAAAAAACTTAAATAAATATAAACTCAAATTTTGAAATTTTCTAATAAACAAATTTATTAAAAATTGTTCCAATCATTCCAACAGTCAAAAATAGAAAATTGTCATCTTCTTTGTGAAATTAATGCTGCATAATTTCACTTAAATATAAATCTAAGTGTTGTGGCATGGTATTGCAGTATTTTTTCCCACTAGTTTTGCCAAGCTCTAGTCTTTAAATGTTCTGAATATGTATACCAATGTGCATTGTTGTAATGTTATGCTTATCCATTATTAGCACTAAATCACATTGTTTGACAACATGTTTTGTTTGTCAAAAATGATTGACGTTAAAGTACTTAAGTAAAAAAAATGTATATAATGAATAGAAAAATGAAATATTAGTTAAATGCATAAATGATTTTCATTACAAGATTCCTTTCATTTTATTCAAATGCAAGATTCTGAAGTTCATTTAGTAAACTCTAGGTGGTGAACCTATCAAAGAAATTTTAAGATAGTGGTGAAAGGGAATTCATAATTAGGTTCATTTCAAAAGATTTTCAAATGCCTTATGTTCTTAAGGCTTTTTGCAGTATTTGAGATGGCTGATCTTTTTTTTTTTTTTTTTTTTTATTTATGCTTTACCAAGATGAATACATCATTATAAAATTTGTGTAATTTTTTATCTTTGGAATGAATGCAGGTACTAACTTATTTGTATATGTGCAGTTACTAACTTATTTTTGTTTTGAGGCTTAATTTTTTAGACAAAAGGTAAATATTGCTTATAATATTCAATACAAATGCTTTATCAGCATAATTATTTTATGCAGTGTTGATATATTTGAACCAAATTATAATATATTTTAAAAATATGAATTGGAAACTATTATATATAAGTGCAATTTTTTTTATCAATTTTTGTTTTATTTTTTAGGATGGTGGCACTCCTTTTCTAATAGCATGTCAATGTAATCATTTAGATGTTGTTCAAGAGCTTATATCACATGGTGCAGATTTTGAGAAAAAAATGATTGTATGTTTTATTTCATAGCACTTTCTATTTTAGCAATCCAATGAATGAATTTGTGCATATGTATGTGTTTATTTATATATATTCTTTCAATCTTTGTGGGGGGGATATAAAATTGTGCAATTTTTAATATATATATATAGGCACATGCACACAAAGGTTGAATGAAAAGTTTTATAACTGTTGTATTTCTTTACAAGTATTAGATGTGATAGTCCTATTCTGGATTTTGTGAAGATTATACATTGATGTATTTGAATGTGCAGTTGGACTGCTAATGAGCTTTAGTATTCAATCATAGCAAATGGAAGCACCAAGTATGTTTGTCATAACAGATGAGGAAGGCATCTGTGCGAAAATACACCAGAGACTGAATTGTTGTATGTTAAACTTGAGGGAACTGTAATGAAACATTTCAAATGCTACAACCTGCGTATAGTGACAAAACACTTAGCCATGCTTCAGTATTTCAGTGGTGAATGTTCGTCAGGTAACTTGTAAATCATCAATAAAGCACATTCTGGGAGGTGATTACAGATGCAGGCAGTGCTAGATAATGAATGGTGATTGTTATGCGAACATCCTGTAAACTCTTTCACAGTCATGAGCGGGAGGAATTTATTTGGTTCAGAAGCAGTGGTTTTTACTCCGGATAATGACTGACTGCATATTGCTGCTCTTGATTATTAGAACTGACTGAAATTGAAGCTCTAGAATACCCTTCAAATAGTCCAGATTTAGTAGCGTGTGATTTCTATGCAATTTCAACTTATTTCTTTTGCATCAACAGAGGCTGAAATCTGTTTCTTGCTTAAAAAATTAAGAGGGGAAAATTGTGTTAATGAAACTGGTTCTGAAGTAAAAAGTAAAAGTAAAAAGAGGAATGCAGTTAGAAAGCATATATAAATTATACTTATTAATGTAATAGCTAGTGTGATTTCGACATTGTACTGTTACTTGTACTGCTAGAAGTAAAAGCCTAGTTTTTGTTAAGATAACATAATTTTATTAACTGGAGATTATTGTCACTAGTGAAAGATTTATAGTAATACATTTCTAAGAATCTAATCATGGGCAAAAGGTGTAAAATATACCTTTGGTCATTTATTCCCATAGCCATGTGTTGGAATTAGCTGTTGAAGGTTAACTTTAGGGAGTGAGACAGTGGGCTGACATTTGATCACAGCAATTATTTTCTGTTTTCCAAAGAAAAGAGGGCATATGTTTCCACACATTATAAAGACGTATTCTCTCTCTTTATCAACACCAAATGGAAATTTGCTTTCCAGGGCTGTTGTCTTAATCATCTGTACTCTTCATTTTCATCTTTATCTTTACGAGAGAGGATAATGAGTGGAAAGGTCTAAAGTTTTAAAGAGATAAATGGACAGTCTTGAAATGCAAGTGCGAAGAATACTAACATGTGAAATTCTAGTAACTATTTGTTCTTGCAATGCAACTCGCCTCTTTAACTGAGAAAGTAAATTAAAAATTATGATAATAAATCAAAAGGTCCTAAATTGTACTTTCAGAATGCTTAGAGAAAAAATACAAGGGGAGAAATATGCAAATCGGTACAGTATATGCAATTCAAAATGGAAATAAATATGGTATATATAATTGATTTTATGTGAGGGCATCTTTATTTAATAAAAATTAAAGTGTAATTATGTGTAAAGCGATCAATTATATCAGATTATTGTAACTGTTCATTTTAATCTAAAACATTTGTAATTTTTTATTAATTCTACATTACTAATGACTTTGTGTAAATTATAAATGTGCATTCATTTTTTTAAGTAATGAATGAAATAATAAGATATTTAACAACAGTTCAATCAGCAATTGTTTTATAAAGTTTTGTGTTTTTTGTTCAGGATAATGCTACTCCATTGTATATAGCTTCACAGAATGGACATTTGAAAATCATTTCTTATTTAGCTTCCTGTGGAGCAGATATTAATGCCAGAAGGGTGGTAGGTACATTTTTATAAAGCTATTTAAGCTAAATTATTCATTTAATATCTGAACAACCTTCCATTGCTCTAGTATGCTGACATCCACAGCGCCGATTATGTGAGATATAGAGGCTGTTCGCACATTTTTTAGACGATTTTGGTAAGTGGTAATAAAAATTCCTTTGAAATACCATCGCTGTACCCACAGTGCCATCAATCTGTGGCATCAGGACAAAGCTAGCAGTCACAAATCAAAATCCATTGTAAATTTCCTAAATGAAATGGAACATCAAAACTAGTATCAAGGCCATACCCTTCACTGATATCTCTACTAAATCTCCCGATGTGTCACCTATGGATTTTTGTGCTTTCAAACTTTTAAAAACTGCATTATCCAAACATTGTCCCAAAACCCTAACAGGACTCTGGAAAGCTGTTCGGGGGGAATGGGATAGAATACCTCTTCTGCCACTTCAAAAGGCATTATTATCCTGGAAATTGTGGTGTCGAAAGATAGTTCAGAATAAGGGATGTCAAATAGAGCATTTAAAACACAAGAATTTTATGTAATTTAGTTTTGTAAATACAATATACATCGTCTAAAAAATGTGTGAATAGCCTCTGTACTATATCATATATATTTGATTATATGAAATGTATTAGCATTTAGAAAGAACAGTTTCAAAATTAGTTTTAAACTTTCTACTTTGATGTAACTACTTTACTTTTATTATAACACCTAGGCAAACACTGCCATATTTCAAAAATGAAATTAAACAATTTTTGCATGTACAATTTAAGATAAATTTCTAATGTTGAAGTTGAAAAGTTTTTTTTTTTTTTTTTTTTTTTTTTTTTTTTTTTTTTTTTTTTTAATTTGATCATTCCATTCATCTATTTTACTTTTTTGTAAGTTCAGGGTTTTCTTTTTGGAGATATTTTTAACTGTAATCTTAGATGATTGAATATTCTTGATTATCATTCAAATTTATATATTTTACATATTCATACTTTTATCATATTCATTATGTCTGAATATCAAATATATCTGAAAATTATATCTACCTTTAAGCATGAGCTAATATTTAAAGCACTTTTAGATAATTTACAACTTATTTCTAAAGAAGAAAATATATTTAATGTTACCTCAAGAAATGGAATTTAAGTAATTTATATTAATTTTTTCCATAAGAATGAAAAGTTCATTTATGTAACGTATGCTAATCCTGCCTTTATTTAGCACCTGAAAAAAGGCAAGATTGTCATATTATTCCTAAGTTAAAAATGTTTGTGAAACTGTTTCTTGTTTATGGAAAATTCTTGTTAAGGAATTTTATATGAACTTTAGGATATTATTACTTAATCAGTTTTAAAGTAATATTTGTCAAGACACATACACTTCCTCTAGTACTTCTGACATTCCTGGAAGTTTCTAAAAAATGAACTGTTTAGGTATCTCTCATAGACTGGTTTTTGATTCCTTGAGTTTTTCGAAACATTGATCCCTTGGACTCTTTTTAATCTAATTTTTGCAGAGACCTGTCTAATTGTGGACTGTATAAGGTGATAATGTCTTTTCTTAGTTTTATTAAAACATAACGATAATATATGCGATTTTGATTTTATAGATTGTCAGGAACAAAAGACAGTAAAAAGTAAATTATTGATTAAATAATTAGCATTAATTAATAAAATTAATTATTAACAAATAATTAATTAAATTATCAGAAAACACAAGAATTTATGTATTTACTTTTCTCATAATTCGAAAATAAAAACAGTAAAGCAAATTCATCATTATAGAAGCACGAAATCATAGAAGTTGAAAAATCTCACTTTAATCTGTAATTACAAAACTAAAAGCATGATGATTACAGTGTTTTCATTTGCAGTCATCAATCTGCTTCTATAGGCTTAGAAATAGTCATAGAATAAAATCTAGTTTTCTTGATTTTTTTTTTTTTTTTTTTTTTCAATTTTATTTATAACCTCTTCAGGAGAGATAGTGACATTGCTTGAATTCAGCAGTGCGAGACCTTTTAAGCATTCATTATGCATGGTACTTCTTAAGTATGTTTTCAGCCTTCTCAAACTCAAGAAAAATCTCTCGCTTGTGTAATTCATTATAAGAAGAGTGCAAAAAAATTTTAGTGTTTTAATATGAGGATAAAATTTATCATTGCAGGACAAATAGTATTCAAATGCGAATGGTGAGGAATCATGTTTTAATGTCATCTTAAACGAGTTTCAGCTCGGAAAGTAAAACATCTCTGTGCTCTAAAAATAAATATTCACCTTTTGAATAAAATTCGGCCAATTTCAAAAAGTTATTAACATTTTCTGCATTATTACTTGGGTTCATCTAGCACGAAAATTTTCCTAAAATATTATTTTGCTTCTGCCATCATAGTTTGAGTTGTGAGATCATGTTGTTTATAAAAGGTAAAAAATACTTTGCCTATAGTATTCTTCAGCATTAGCAGCTGGCACATTATTACAATAACTGGAGCATTTTCTGGCATGATTCTGTCTTTCTGAAACAAAATTTCTTCAAGGGCTGCTATAACAGCAGGAAAAAGCTCCACCAAAATGATTATAGAATCGTGTTTTTCAACCCATCTTGTCATACACATTCCAACCAATTTTTGTTTTTGTTTTTTTTACTTTGGGCAATATTCTTCAATTTTAAATTTTAAAAAATGTCACTTTGGTGTTTGAAAAAATTATAAATTCCTTATACAGTCAAAAGTCGTTAATCCGGACTCGTCGGGACTTCGGCGATTCCGGATTATCGATTTTTCCGGATTATAGATCATCAGTTTGAATCTCGTAAGATGGCATGCAGAAATTATAAAATTAAAAATATGAAACCGTAAATTTATGAAATAAAGAACAATTATGATCTAAAGGGTATCAAAATTTGCAAAAAGAAAAAGCTTAATATTTATTTGTTTACTTTATTAAACCTTTCTTTCAATGTAAGTTGTTTAAGTTTGCTTCGTTTCATGTGATAATACTTTCTCTTAATTCTATTAAACAGACATAATTTCTTGTTCAGTTACAAAGTTCCGTCGTTCAAGTCCTATAATTGCTGTGCCAAGAATACCGAATAATTTGTCAATCGAAATTTTTTTGTTTTCAATAACCTCTGTCACTTTTCTTCGCTATCGGAAGCGAATTATAATGACGAGGAACTTGTTTTAAATCATATCAAAGACGAAGCATATCGAGATGAAATACTACATTTGGTAAGGAATTAATTATAAGCCAAATAAAATAAAAACATCTGCGCTGAAGATAAGGTGTGCTGTCAACAAAAATTCATTACGTAGCGCCCGCCGCCGAGCAATGAAATGATAACAGATTTGATTTCAAAACATACTTTCGCTTAGATTTACATCTAACAAAATATATCGGAAATTTATTTTATAATCGAAAGTACTTTAAGAAATGTCTTCTGCAAAAAATAATAAGGGCCGATGAAAATTAAGGAAAACGCAATCTCAACTGAATTAATTTTTAGCTTATACTTCCATTATACATAAATGCGCGCGCGAAAACGTATTCTGCACTTGCGCACACTCATATGCGCAGTCGTAAAGGTCTTACGCGCACGCGTGAACGCCTCTGCGCATGTGTCAAGCGGCGCATGCGCAGAAAAGTTTAAGTGATTGTAGATTCATTCCGATTATGGGGTCCGAATTGAAGACTTTTGATATACAATCTGGATCTCTGATATATTGCATGAATTGGATATTGCTAGATTTAAACTGTGCAAACTGCAGTGGACGTATAAAAAGCAAGAGGATATTTATCCTTTAAATGAGCATTTATGCCTTGCAGTTCCCAACTCATTGATCTAGCTCCATCGTAACCTAGTCCCCTTGAAAATGATAAATTTATTCTGAACAACTAGTAACTGGAATAAGTTGTAGGAATTTTTCATGAATTAAATTATCTTTAATAAAACATTCAGCTAAAGATAACTGCTGAATCCCAGCAATATCAGTCATTTCATCTGCAGTGATGCTGAAACACAATTTGTTTACACTGTTGACAATATCTTTTAATATAATTTCATCAGTGAATGAAATTGTATTAAAAGATATTGTTATATTAAATGTTAAAAGATATTTAATTATATTATATGTTAAAAGATATTTCGTTTTGTGTTCTTCAACTGATGTAAATATTTCTTCCACTGCCTTTCAAATGTTTTTCTATGACATCATCTCCAGCTTCTACACAAAATTTTACCAGCACTCGAAAGTTTCCTTCATTTTAATTTATTTCTTCTGTTAAATTTAAGGGACCATAATCCAAATGCCCCCCTTAAAGCAATTTCTTGTTTACCACTAAAAATTACAGTTTCAATTATAGAACATAAAATTTGTTGATTTTTTAGAAACTTCTTCAGCTTTGTCTAATATTTTGTCGATACGAATGATAGAATTTTCACTCATTTTTGCAAATTTGAGTAAATTTCGAGACATTGTTAGTGATATTTTAATGAATCGGGGTTTTTTTAAATATTCTACAGTGTGGTTCCACTTTTTGAAAGGTTCTGATACTAATTTTCTAGTACTCTGATTTTTTGGGCACCTACTTCTTTCATTACAGAACACAATATTTGCAAAAAGCACCATCCATTTTTTTTTTTTTTTTTTTTTTTTTTTTTTGAGAATATGACAACCAATGGCATTTTGAAAACCACTGTATTTGAAATTTCAAATTTTTTTATTTTATAAGTGTAATCAGAAAAGTATATTTTTTTATCAGGATACCATATATTGCATAACATATCAATTACCTCAATATTTGGTATCGGTCTTTAATTTATCAAAATCATATCAAAATAAGTTACTGTAATATTTGAAACTGGAGTTTGAATATTATTTTCATTATTTTGGCTGCAACTTGGATACCTTAAATTTTCACTTACTTCCATTTTCACTTGTACATCATCATCTAATATCTTTTCAACCTGAGGCAAACTATTTGTGGTAGACCGAGAATCTTCTTTCACTTCCAGAATATTTTGTTTTTCATCTTCACATACTTTTTTCACAAAAGACAATAATGTGACTTGTTTTTTTTTTATGATTTTGATCACTCTTTTTTACAATATAATTTAAAAATTGTATTTATACAACTTAAAAATCAAAATGAATTTAAGCTGCAGTGAAAGAATATGCATGTTACATAGTCATGTAGAATCATAAAGTAATGCAAGAATTTTTGACTTTTTGTCATGTGGGTTTGCCAGTGTATGTGAGTTTCTTATGTTTATATGCAGTTCTCTTTTGAAGAGGAAGAGAAAAGAAATTTTGTTTTTTCATTTATTAGAATTGAAATTAATTTTACTTTTGTTTGGAATTATTTTACGTACTATATACATAGAATTATAATCAATTGAAAAAGAAAATCAAGGGCTATGGGGGAGGGTCCAGACCCCCTGAACCCCCTCCCTTATTTGCACCACTGGAATATATTATGTTAGTAAGTTTAAAATCTGTATTACTTGTCTGAGTTTATTTAAAATTCATTAATTTTTATTTATTCAACAGAAAATGCAAATTTACATGTGTTCATATTGAAGGAAAGAGGACAGCTTGTTTAAAAAAACATCTTGGAAAATTGATTCTGTTTTTTTCCTTGATGATGCAATGCATTTTTAAAATTAGAATGTATTTAAGTTTTAGAAAATGCAAAACAGATGATACCTCATGTTTAATATTAATGCTTTTTTATGAATTTTAACACATGGATAATCATGATATGTTCTAGAGTGAATTAGTTTATTGGTAATGAAATGCTTGTAATGAATAAACTTTCTGTCAAAAAAATGCTGGCTGTAGATTTGATGCATTTATGTTAATATTAAATTGTGTCAATTAAACTTTAAAAATATATTTAATTTATTTCTGATAATTGTTTTGATTCTCATATTAAAATGTTAAATAAACTACTCAAAATTTAAGAATATAACAATGCTTGGAATCACCAGCTTAAATGTGAGTAGCCCAGATGAACAACCAAATTTTTGGAGATTTTCAAATCCACCTAATATCTGTGTGATGCAAACAGCATGTTATTTTATATCAAAGTATATTATACAGATATTATTCCGTGATGCTGCTTTTAGTGTGATATCTTCAAAATTATAATGATAAATTTCTGCTTTGTGTTTGGTAACATTCGTATATACAGTACAAAGTCTAAAATCCAGACCTCCACGTCATCAAAAGCTTTTTTTCTTTTTTTCCTAAGAAATGTTTTGTATACTTTACTATTGCACATTTGGTATTTATTTATCATAAAAACATGTGGAAGGTCCTGATGTTTAATTTCACATCGGTACTGAATAAAATACCTCCATATTGAAGGAATAATATAATTTATTAAGCACAATTTCATATGATTAATTTGATTTGGCTCCATAGCCAACTTTTTGCTTGGCATACATCTCAAACCAAAGAATTTTACATCGAAATACTGCAGCTTGAGAAATGACTCACGACTTCTAAACACTTTTTCAAATATTAGTAACTGAATACATGGTAACCTTTTACTTTGACATTATGCCTCAGAATGATTACAAACTAACTCCACTTCAATGTATTGATGAGGAGAAATTTAACAGAAATTTCTTTCTGTATGCAAAAAATAGATTTTGTAATTGATGCTTGTAGACTAAAAGATTACATTTAATTCTGTTTGAGTTAAGAATAACTGATAACAAATCAGTTATTCTCAATTCAAACAGCACTAAATGTAAACCTTTAGCCTATGATTCTAATTTATGTTTGTTTATTTTCATTTGTTATTGAAATCTGTGCTGTGATTCTAAATCCACAAGATGTTGCAACTGATAGTAAAGAAAGCCCGAGAGAGATTCTTGAGAATGAAAAATTTCAATTGACAATTTAGTGGGTATTCTTAACATGGCGGTTACGGGACTAGAACAATGAAACTTTGTAGCTGAATAAGAGATTATGCATATCTATAGAATTAAAGCAAAAGCATTAGCACAAAAAAAGCAATTTATATTGAAAGGAATGTTTAATAAAGCAAATAAATAAATATTGAGCTCTTTTTTGTAAATTTTAATTAAGGTTAAAAATGCTTCATCATTTCATAAATCACTATTTCATATTTTTAATTTTACGTTCTCAATTTGTCATCTTACTTGGTTTAAACTGGTGATCTAATATCCTGAAATATTCCAGATATGGAATCACCAAAGTCCCCATCAAAAGCAATTTTTTGTCCTATATAACATACAGATGCATTTTGCCATACCAGTGCCTTATATTTTTAAAATGTAGTTAATTTAATTTTGTAATTATAGTAAGTAATTAAATTAATAGAAGAAAATGTATACTCGTTTTTAATAATTTGAAATTATTTGACTTTGGATAATCTTTATTTTATTAACTAAAATTATGTTGGTATCCACATTAATGAGATGGATGAGCTTGCTGATTCTTAAGTAGCTGTGTTATGTTTGGATGTGTACTGGTAATATATTAAATGTGTCTCTATTTATAAAATATCAGTCTTTGGAAAAAAAGTGATACCAATTGCCATGTGTCATTTCCAAACTTGAGATTTTCAGCCATAGTGTGGTATACACAGCTAATTCAAATTTTAATCTCGAAGAATTATGATAGCAGGTTTTGAGGATCATAGATTGAGAAATGCTGGTGCAAAGTATTCTATTTCTTGAAGTGCTGTTGTATAAAATAATTTTGTTTCTTGAAAGTTATATGTTATGTATAGTCTGTTTTTCTCAGTTATATATCTGCAATTATTTTGTTCCATTGTTAATACCAAATGTTTAAAACAGAATATTTGAATTTGTATTTTAGGATGGTTCCTCTGCATTATGTGTTGCATGTCAAATGGGACATACAGCTGTAGTTGAAGAACTAATCAATTGTGGTGCTGATGTAAATTCAGCTAGACAAGTAAATTATTTCAATTGTTTCATTATATGTTAAGAGCAGTAAAAATTGAGGAATCAAGCTGTGAAATTATAAAATAAGTCGAGACTAAACCATGATATTGGAGAACTGTTGATTATATATACATTTATATATTTCAAAAACTAATGATTATACTATTTGAGAAAGTATAATATGCTTGTGTAAAAAAAACTGTTGTATCTCTTTAAAAAAAATAAATATTTAGTGAACAAAATAGAAATTTAAAATTAAGCAAAATAAATAAATCGAATTTTTAATTTTTTTTAAATATGAATTGAAAACAATTGAAAATCTTTCCATAATATTTTATGACTATGTTTTATTTATTCAAAATTTTTGACTCGTCATGGGGTAATTATCTCAAAAGTTAAACTTGAATAATTAAGGAATTCTGAAAATGCCTTTCATCTTTCTTGACTATTTGAGAGGACTAAATAAACATTAATAAAGAAATATGAAAAAATACATACAAAAAATTTGTTGCTTGACCCCATTCTTAAAGAATCAAGAATATACCGCAGCATGAATTCAGACTTCAAAATAAATAAACTGTAAGGCTGCTATCACACATCCGCTTGTTTCGAAAGAACAAATGTTTGGAACATTTTTTTTACTTTGTCACAGCAGCCAGTCACCACAGATCACTTTGGGGTTAACACAGGGAAACTGATTCTCTATTACAAACAAACTGATAGCATTCAAAGCTAATAGCTGATCGATTAAAAACGAACAACTTGCAATTTTTTTCGAAAGAAAGGAAAAAATCGTGTGTCTTACTTTCATTAGTAAACCAGGCAGAAAAATTGTCCGAAACAGTTGTTTGTGTGAAACAAATCTGTGTGATATGGGCCTAAAAATTTAAATATTTAAAAAAAAAAAGTGAAAAGAGAAAGCACATGTACTGCACTAATGTTAGAGTTAAAAACAAAAACTAGCTTAACAAATGAATCACATGAAATTTTACATAGAAGTATACAATAGGCCAAAAATAATTACTAAGAGACTTATTTAAAATATCCTAATTTTCAAATAAAGTAGGGGTTAGAAACAAAGGCCAAAGTTATTGGCTAAATCGGCAAGAAGTTAAAATAGGGGTCAAATCGGCAAAAAAAAAAGACGTTTATGAACATTAAAAATGCTATTCTTAGCAAATAAAAAAAATTTTAGCATTTTTATTATTACTAAGGGATGCTAAGAATTTCGTAGCTACCATTGAAGGCTTTGTTTGTTTAAATTCTACAGTTTAATTTTTTTAGTTCTGAATTTGATTTGGGGTATTTTCTTTACTTTTTGAGAAAGGGTCATAATTTTTATTATTATTTCTTAATCTTTCCTTATAGATATTTTAGTTCTCTCAAACAATCAAAAAGGACAAAAGGCATTTTCAGAACTCCTTAATTAATCAAGTTTCATACATGAGATAATTATTCCTTGATAAGTCTGTCTCAAACATTGAATTATGAATAATTAAGATACAGTTAGTCATAAAATATTATGGAAAGATTTTTTAATTGCTGCATGATTCTAATTTTTTAAAAAAATTATTGTTTTAATTGTAACAAAAATCTTTTATATAAGCATATTCACTTTCCTGGATAGTAAAATCATGAATTTTAGGAAAATTCAATTTACTCAATCTCAGCTACATTTGTGCTAGATTTTTCACACTGAAAGTCCTAAATTTTACTCACTGTATATACAATGTCAGAATATCTTCTGTTTCTCAATGAACACCATAAGCACACATCATCACTGGTAATTTAGACATTGTTGAAGATCAATAATAAAGAGAACTCATGAAATTAGGAACTAAATTTAGGCGAGTCTCCTGCATTAGAAACTTTCGCTGCCTTAATAATATTAAAATTAACCTCAAAGAAGTTATTAAGCCAGCCTAGAAACTTCTACCAAGTAATACATTCTTAGATTATAAAGATGTTTTTAACAAAATTAAACACCAAATTAATAAAATAAAATTTTGGGGTAATTTAAATAGAAATAAAATTAAGCACAAAATCCAGCTGTTGGACAAAAATTTATTATCACAAAAATAGATGAAGGGCGTAATAACTTCAGTATTATTTGAAAAATATATTGCAGCCAACTAATAGCGATGCAGAACTCGGTCAACCAATTACTTACCAAAAAACCACTGTAAAAGAAATATCCATTATAAATAAGCTTAAAGCTTTTCACTACAAGCTTAAAATTTCAATTTCTACTAAAAGCAATAAATTTTCTAACCTCTATGGTCTCAAATTTCATAAAACACCACTTAAATTCAGATTCATACTCAGTGGAACTAAAAATTATAAAAAGCACATTGATTTCTTATTTGCTCAACAGCTTAAAAAGGTTACGAGGTTAAGTTGAAAAATAAGTTTTCCCTGTCGACTGTGGTCAGAGTTGTGTATAAGAGTCAAAAAATAGAATGAGACATTAATGATATGACATACCTTTATTTTATCACATAGGTACCAAGTACATGAGACATTTGTCATAATCGCTTGATAAGCTTCAGAAAGCCTCCAGGAAAAAACCGGGCTTTGCATATGGAAGAAGCGTCGAAGGCTTGTTTCACTTCAGTATTGCTTCCAAAGCGCCTTCCCCCGAGATTTTTCATGGGATGGCAATGATGTTACCATGAAGATGGCAATGACTTTCTGTTTCGGATTGTGACGTGGGATGAAACGTGGGTCCACCATTTCCGCCAGAATCGAAGGCCGCATCTATGGAGTGGAAACATCCGTCATCACCTGTCTAAAAGAAGTTCAAGACAACTCCCTCTGCAGGTAAAGTGCTCCTCACAGTTTTCTGGGACGCCCAAGGGTTTTGTTGCTGGACTTTTTGGAGGTTGGAACCATCAATGCTACGTGCTACTGTGACACCCTGTCGAAATTGAAAGAGGCATTCAGAAAAAGCGGCTGGCCTTCTCACATCTGGCATTCTGCTGTTGGATGACAATGCCAGACCACATTCGGCGACGGCAGCGCAAACCATATTACCACTCTGGTTGGGAGCAACTACACCATCCGCCATACAGTCTGATCTCGCACCAAGCAACGTCCATCTGTTTCCGGCTATGAAAAAATCTCGGGGAAGACGCTTTGGAGCAATACTGAAGTGAAAAAGCCGTTCAACCTTCTTCCATATGCAAAGCCCTGATTTTTCCTGGAGGGCTTTTTGAAGCTATCAAGTGATATGACAATGTCTCAATGTACTTGGTACCTATGTGGAAAAACAAAGGTATGTCATATCTTTAATGTCTCATTCTATTTTTTGACTTTCATACACAACTCTAACCACAGTCGACAGGGGAAACTTATTTTTCAACTTACCTACGTAATACTTAATTTTTAAATCTGTTGAAAAAGAACACAATTTTTGTAGGAGCATTAATAATGACAAATTATGATTTTGAAAACATGTTCACTGCTCTTCCCTTGCAAGAAATTTACAATAGTTTATTGAAATTTCCAAATCAAATTTCCAGAAATGTTTTCAGTATTTACAGTAGGTAAATGGAAAATATACCTCAATTGCATCCTGTTTTGCAGTTATATTAAATTTAATATCACCATTTTTAAACAAATAAATAGCATTCCTATGGTTACGAATTTCCTGACACAACTCTCTGATCTGTACTTGTTTACTAGAAATTTTTGAACAATCTCTTGACTAAACAAGTTTACAGATACAGTGGCGATATAATTACCTTTAATGATAATGATTCCACAGAAAAATTCCCAATCTACCCTTCTTGCGTAAAGATTAATAAAACCAATAAAAATCAACAATAAATAGATTATCTTGATCTACATATCATTAACTACAAAAAAATTAAACTTAATGATAAAAAAGAATTTTTTATTTTAATATGATTAAACTTATTAATTAGAAATCTAATGTATCAAGGAGAGTAATAGGAAACACAATCAAATTAATATGATTTAAAAAATCTGTATAGAAGTTGACAGCTTAAAAGATGAGATTATTTTACTTACACAATCAAAAAGGAGAGTAAGAAAGGATGTTTTGTATGAATTAAAGATTTGTATATTTTGTAATTAAACTGTAAGAAAAAATATTCTATTTATATTCTGGCCTTTTTTCTTTTTGGATGTAAAGCAATGACTTTCAGCCAATCTTAATTGTAAAATTATTAGTTTTTATTCTGAATTTATTCATTTTGCTGAATCTCACTAGTTTTTACTATGACATTGTCTTATTTTTGTGGAATCATGCCCCACTGCAGGAGAATTTGTGCCAATTGCAACCCCCCATCCATCTCCATTTTCATGCCAATACAGAATCAGCTAGTTACATAATACTAAAATGGACTCTCCCAAACTTTATTCATGGCATTGGCAGCATCAAGCATGTTGCTGTGAACACACCATTTTAAATAAATCACCTTTTGTTTGGCTAAAATGTAAGTAAAATTTGAAATTAATTTTAGCCATTAGTATCTAATAACCAGCCAACCAGCGGCCGAGCAGTAAAGTCGCTGAATACTGGTAGTTCGGTCTGAGGTTCAAATCCCGCGAACGGGCTGGCTGCATGGGCGTTTTCGTGGTTTTCCCCATGTGTAACGTATATACGAGCCAGTTTCCCTTAGAAAGTCCTCCATGAAGGCATCCCTCCTCTTAGGCAGATAGCCCTACTGTCCTTTGCCATAATTAAATACACACACACACAGTATCTAATAACCCACTGTTAATAAGGCATTTATTTTTATATTTCTTTAGTTGCTTTTATTTCATTTGCTTCTTAAGTTTTATCTCGCTTATTCTTTTTTTTTTTTTTTTTTTTTTTTTTTTTTTAGTATCTACTATTTTTATTAAATTTGCAAGTATTTATAGATACTATTTTTTTTTTGAATTAATTATCTATCATCACGTTGGGAAATTTTTTTTCACATTTCTGAAATAATTTAAGATTTAAATTCAAATATTTTATAAAATTTATTACCAAATTTAAAATTGAAATGGGGATTTGTTCAGAAATGCGAAAAAGTTGAAATGTGATCCTTTTGAATTGTTGGTGATTGTATAAAGGAATTCAAATTCCCCTTAAAAATCAGGATGTTTCTGTGATCAGCAACAATTTTAATTGTTTAAATTTACTTTACATGGATTTAGCATTTATAAAGTAAAAATTCCAATTTTTTTATTTTCACAAAAGTGCACCATTGCTATCTAAATTTTTCTTCAGATTTCCTGGGAGATAATCTAATTATTTACATATTCTTCTTCATATATGTCATCTTTTGTATTTTAATTTAGAGATCTAGACTAAATGTAGTCTTAAAATAAATAGTTTAAAATTTTTTCCAACGATTATGATGAACATTTTTTTTCTTTCAGATTCTTTTAATAATAGCTACATTAATTTAGCTTTAACTTTTATGCTTTCTTTTAATTCTAAAACTTGCTTTAATATTGCAAAGTAAGTTCTAAACTTTTTTTTGTCCACTTAATTTGGAGTATCAGAGTTTGATAATTTAAAGCATTCTCACATCAGTTTTTGCCTAAAGAACACAGACTAAAAAACAATGACTTTCCTTCAAGAAAATGTGAAATTTTATCTTTTTTTATCAAAATTGTGTACACTGCCAACTCTTAAGGTTTTGCTTATACTAATTTTACATATGTTCCATATCAAAGTTGAAAAAGGGTATTAAAAATCTCAAGCAAGTTCTACAATAGAACAGTATTTTTTTTTTTTTTTTTTTTTTTTTTTTTTTAAGGGTCATTATTTCTTGTTTAAGGAATTTTGGCACATGTGTTTGAATGCTTACATGAGCATTGCTCTAGGAAGACTAGTTCATTAATCAGCTGATATTGATAAATTTTGGGAAGACTAAATTTGGGCTGTTACATACTTTTATAAATTAGACCACTGTGGCTACTTGAACTTCAGCTAGTTGGCAAAGTAAAATCTGCTGAGGGGAAGATAAGAAAAAGAAGAGGAGGTTAACATCTTGTACAATATGCAAATTAGACTGGGGATGGATAAACCAGGGTTCTTTGGCTATGCTAGATCCATAAAAGACAAGCCAATAGATACATACTAAATGAGTCATAAATATCATTAACAAACACAAGAAAAGGCTAAAATTTCTTAAACGAATGTTATATGTATAGAGAATAAATAATATTTGCAGATTAGTATACACTCTCACACACAAATGTGGAAATATGTAAAATCAGAAAACTGTCATCAAAACTTGGTCTCAGAACTGTAGCCCTTCATCACATGTATTTGTTGCAAATGCCATGAAATAGGAGGCCTTTAGAATAAATTAAAATTAAGAGTGAGTAAAAACGATTTTTCTTTGTACTTTTGATTGAAATAAACTAGACATTCAGTTTTGAAGTCAACATGTGTGAATATGTTTCTAACATACTACTGTGATTCTATTAGAACCGTGAGAGCTTTTTTCACATCTAATTTGTACACTTTCAGATAATGAACAGTATAACAGCCACCTACACAGGGGAAGTATAGCCATTAATGGGCTTGATGACTGTAACACATTCTTTTCCTGTTGAGGCCATATCCAGAATATTGCCCCAATAGAAATGTCAGCTAATTTATGAAGCTATTGGCTTTCTTTGCTATATAGTTATTATTTGATCATATGAGGTTTTAGTTTAGCATCACTTATGAATAAATGACTTTGATAACAACATGACTTCACACCAAAAAATTTTCACTTATTCAAGCAGCTGAAATCTTTCTTTGGTAACCTGAGGTTTAATGACAGTGACGAGGTGAAAGAAGTAGTCAAGATTTGCATCACAGACAGAATTTTCTGTTTGGAATTAGACAAATAAGTAAACTTAATTGGCATAGATTTTTGAATAAAATTTTATTGATTTTGAGAGCAAAATGGCAGAACTTCTTGTTCAGGAGCTAAAAACATTTTAGCGTAATAGAGGGACATATAACTGATTACCTTTGAAATCAACAGGCCGAGCTAAGATTTTGTTTTTAACCTAATTTAAATTTTGCACTAGTTTGATTTTCAATTGAAGAATTTTCTGTGATGAAGGAATAGAATTCCAGTTATCTTGTCACAATAAGTGTCTGAATGATACCGTAGGAAGGAAAAATTATTTGAAAAAGTGTACAAATTATCTACTGTAATTAGCAGGTGTTTAAAGGGGGTTATATATATTATTATTATTATTTTCATTTCAAGACACTGAAAAGAATATCAGTAAATTTCAATGCATGTAATTTATGCGAAAAAGTTTTTCACTTGTTTATATAGGTACCAAAATTTATTGATTTTCTGTTCTTCATTTTAAATTTTAATACTTATAACTAAAAAAAGGTTGTAGAATGATTTATATTTTTAGATTAGTGTATTTATGTTTGTTTAGTTTTATTTTACATTGCATATTCTTATTATTTTTTTTAATTTGAATAGTTTTGAGAAATAAAATTTAGCCTGTAATTCATTATTTTAGGATGGATGTACACCTCTTTTTAAAGCAGCTCATAAAGGTTTTGCAGGCATTGTTAAATTATTAATTTCTAAAGGAGCATATCAAGGTCTTCTGAAGGTAAGTGCTACTAATTTTTGTACATGAAAAAAAAAAGTTTACATTTTATCCAGCATATAAAATTTTTGATAAAATGATTCGCATGTATTTATTATGTTGAACAAATTTTAAATTCTACTTATTTTCTAATCAATGCACTGAGATTAAGCTGCATTTTTAAGGTAACTAAAATCTATGTTCTTTATAATTAGCCTTTGCTATTTTGAACTCAACAAACTAGCTTTAAAAAAATATTTAATTATGAGCAGCAAACATTAAGATCTGTACAAAATGTATGGTAAATAAATATGTAAAATAAATTATCTTTTATCAGAAAAATGTTTTGAATTTCTGGAAAAATGATGTTTAGCTTAAGTTACTTTCATTGTGGAAGTTTTGTTTACAGAAATCATAACTTCTTGGCATGTAGACTATAAACAGAAATCATAAATAGACATGTAAAAAAATCTTCTGCTAATGTAATAAAATTCTGTTAAGTTTCTTAGCAAAAATAACTGCATATGAGCTATATATTAATATCTGCATGTGTAACAGAGACAAAGTATAAAACAATTAAATAAAAATTATAGAGTTTTTATTTAGAAGCTATGAAATTAAGCTTACACTGGCTGCTAATACATTTTTGAATAATTTTGACTAAGCATGTAATTAAATTAAATGAAGTATAAAAAAATTAGTTTGGAACAGCCTTTAAATTGAGCAATAAGAAAATTAATCTGCTACAGTCAGAATTTTATAAGTTTAAAATTCCATTGGTAAATTTTAGATTAAAGATTACATTTGGTTTTAAAAGAGAATAATTCAACGAGCAATATGCTCAATATCTGTCTCCATTGTAAATAAAATATTAAACAAAGATATAAAATAGAAAACTGAAGAAAATAATTGTCATCATCTGACATTCATTGTCATCATCTGACACAGTGCTCAAACATAAGTTTGGATGTAGCATTCTTCATGAAAATTTTTTATTATGTGAGGAATTGAAATTTATTGTGACTACAGAGGAAGCATAGCTATATTTCATTGTAACAAAAAGCAGTTTATGTACTGTTGTCAAAAAGAAGAGAAATGCTTAAAAAATTTGGTTTCAGGTATATAAAAACAAGTTTAAAATGTTTTGAGAGTTTTTTTATGGTATGATTAGTTTTCCATGCAACAGAAAGTAAACTTAAGAATTAAAATAAATGTAAAAATTAACTCTATTATTAAAATTGAATTTTAATGTCATTGCTCAGGAAAGAAATTTTATTTATTTATATACCTAATGTAAATGAAATTGAATTCCACCAGAGCAAATTGATGAATAGGCAGATAGCCCTTGCATGCTTTGTCAGAATGTAATAAAAATAAACCAAAGTTATGAGTTGCATTTCAATATCAACTACTAATTAAAAAAATCTGATGTGTACACCACATGACTTTCTTGTATGGAATATAAAATTTATACATTAAATTAAATATTAAATGCATTTTTCTTGCATTGAATTAAATCTACTTCATCGATAGTGCATAAATCACAATAGAATAAATGCACTCTTTAAAATTCACTATATTTGTTTACCATAGTGACACTCTGACTCTAGGTTCACTTAACAGCGTTACGTTTCGTACATATTATAACACAGATCATCATTCGTGTAAAAGGCATGCAGCCTGTTGAGGGCTTTATCAGTCTATATTTAAGTTCCTAATGGTATAAAGATGAGAAAAAAAATTCCAAACAAGCAGAAAGTCTTAAAGCACTGAGTGTGGATCTCATAAGAGAAAGAAGTACAGCGCTGTAGTGGAACATAATTTAATGTTTCTATATAATTATTAAGATTTCCTAAGTGGCAACATGATGTAATGTTTTGAATAGTTATTTAGATTCGCCGTGTGGCAACAACAAGTCGAGCTAAAAACGTCGTTATTTCGAACGTTCTTTGATAAGCGTTGCATAAGCTTTATTTCTTAAAAGTTTGTTATATTCTTATGTAAAATAAGTAACATGTTGCAAACAAGAATGAAAACTGTAAAAATAAATATGCTGTTTCTTTTAAGAGCAAAATAAGCATTTATTTCACTTATGAAAAGCTCTGGCTGATAAGTTTCGGTTTCGCTTATTCATCAAAGCCACATTAAAAGATTGGTGACCCAAGCGTTTGGTAAGCTTTATTTCTTAAAAGTTTGCTATATTCTTATGTAAAATAAGTAACATGTTGCAAACAAGAATGAAAACTGTAAAAATAAATATGATGTTTCTTTTAAGAGCAAAATAAGCATTTATTTCACTTATGAAAAGCTCTGGCTGATCAGTTTCGATTTCGCTTATTCATCAAAGCCACAACGCCATCTGTTTGACTTGAGTAGAATCTTGAGTAATGGCATATCTTTGGAGTGATGTTTGTATGGCACCATTTGATTCCATCAATGGCATATCTATGGTATAACTTTGAAGTAGTAGATCCTTGAGATAGTTTCTTGAGACAAATTCTATTTGTCATAAATACAGTGAAGAGCATAAAAATAAGTTACAAAAGAAAAGAAACAATTTTGTACAGGTATATGTGCATAAACAATTCTTTCAGGACTCAGGAAGTTTCCAATTGTCTTATCTACTACGCCATAGAGCTGTCGTATACAGAATATAATATATACAAATACAGTCCACAAAACTTGCTATATCAGGTACAAAAATAAAAACTTGGCTAAACATTAATAAAATATAAAAGTTGTTTAAATGAAGTAAATGAAAAATATTAGATAACATCTACAAGCCCTACCATTTAGAACTGTGATAGATAGTGCAAGGTCTTTTATGATTTTGCTCTATGATGTAGTCATAATTGCCTAATTTCTTAATGATTTCCTTGTTGTGTTGATCACATTTGAGGAAGAATTTATACAAGAATTTTAGAATTTCTGAGTCTAGGTTTAATCCTAAGGTCATTATGCAGAGTGGAGTTTCTTACGAACCAGGGAGCATTGGCTATGATTCCCAAGGCTTTATTTTGTATTCTTTGAATTTTTAATCTGTTCGTACAAGCAGTAGCCACTCAGGCTAAAGAAGCATAGAGTAGTATAGGTCTTATGGCTTGTAAATATAAAATTCTTTTTAGTAGCGATACTAAGAGTTGAGTGTCTGCCTATTAATGCATAAACACTTCCAATAGCTTGGTTTGCTTTCATGCAGATATAATTGATGTGATTTTGAAAGGTTAATTTTCTATGGAAGTGACACCCAGGCATTTGACTGAGGTATCACGTGCTATTTCAATATTATTAAGTTTGATATTTTCAAGAAACTTTCTTTCAAGAAACTTTCTAGTGGGGCTGTTTTTGAAAATAAACCAACACTAAATTTTTCAGTGTTGATTTTTATTTTCCAGCCATGGATAAATCTTATCAAAGGCTGCTTGAAGTTTGGCGACAGCTTTTTTAGGATTCAAAGACTTGCTTAAAATCACCGTGTCATTCGCATAGCATGCGATAAGGCTTCTCTAGGATAATTAAGGATATCATTGATAATGTGTATATTGAAGAGCACAGGTGCTAAAATACTACCTTTTGCTACTCCTGCAGTGATGTTTTTAATTTCAGATAAGGAATCTTTAATTTTAATGTGGAAGGTGTGTGATTGAAGATAACTGGCTATAAGAAGAATGATTTCTGGTGGACATATTATAACTCAGAATGCACAAAATTTATATCATTTAAAGAATTATATAATCGTTGCCACATGTTCTATTCAAATACTATAATAAATGTAAAATGATGTATAAAAGAAATTAAGCAAACAAAACAAAAAAGAAACAGTTTTTCACAGACAATTTAGTATTTTTCATTCAGTTAATTCAGTTCTCACTTCCCGACACGGCAAAAATACATGAAAACTCAAAATATCTATATTAAAAATTACAAAGTAAATTTTAAATACTTATTTCCTCGAATCAATTCTAAAATGGATTAAGCATGATTTACTTCGCAATAATAAAAAGAAGGCATTATCTTTGTAGTTGCAAAGCTTAGTTTCTCTAGATTGGCTACAAATCCGTTATTCAGCCAAGTTTCAAATGTAAATAAACATGGCCACCATCGCAAAAATAATTAGGCTTAGCCGCACTTAAACAACTTTTATATTGTTGATAACTCTAAAAATATTGCATGCAGATTTACTAAAGCCATAAAAACCTTAACCAGAAGACAAGAACAACATAATTCAAGCATTTTTTAAGGAAAAAATGCACATTTTACAAACATATAAGAGTAAAGAAACTGAGATCACTGAGCCGGGTAACAGACTGAATATATATATAAATATATTTATATATGTTTGGTGCAGCCGATTGCAACAAAAATACGAGGTGCACATCTACATGTTATAGCAGTCCTATATTCAAATTGCGATTTTCATGTCTCGAAAGCCCGACTTAGGATATGTATTAGATTTATATACAGCATTGTTTTAATATAGGTATTCTGACACAAAATTGGACTTTTTCTGAAATGTCATGCCAAGTTTTTTTCCAAATTTCGATTCTACAACTCAAATTACTCCAAACTGCCAAGTTTCGTAAAAATAGCACGAGTATTTTTTAAAAAATTAGCTCTCAAAATTTTAGCTCCTCAATGTTAATTGAGTTTGGTATATATTTATTAATATCTCTTTTCTTATAAAACTTATTTCATTCTTCTTTTCAAATTTCAAAATTTAAGTTCATTCCAAATAAAATTCGTTCATTTTTTATAACTTATTTTTAAAATTTGTATTTTAAATTAATTTTTATAAATTTTTCAGAAAAATTTTGAATTATATTCTATAAAGTTTTTACCATTATCTTAAAGTAGATGTATTTCTAACCAAACCTGCAAAAATGTAGTTTTTTATTAAATATTTCTGAGATGTACATGAATTTATATATTTGTGCATTTGGAAATTTGGCATATTTGTTAAAAACGATAATAATATCAAATGTGGTTTACACACTTTGTTAAAATGAGATACATTCTGGCGACGTTGGAGGTCACAAGAAGACCTCCTAAGAACTGCTAATGTAAACAAACAACCTTGTGCTATGGTAGATGTGTTGAAAGTTCTGAAACTTTGTTTATTTTTAATTAGTTATGAAATCTGCATTTCATCTTTAATTATTATTTCATCCATTAATTAACTATACATTCATTTGGTTAATATAATTTTGTTAACTCTTATATGTTATTGTTATGTTCATGATACTCTTTTGTTCACTGCTTTACCATGTTTTGATTGTTAATATTTATTTATGAATTCTTTCCTTGTTCTGATAATTAATTCATTTATAAAAAATGTAAAAATGAATGTATAAAATCATGTTTACATAGATTGCTCTTCTACACTAAAAAGAAAGTTACTATAAATATTTGTAAGTCATAATTTTATCAGCTTAACAAGCAGAACAGTAAATATAAATAGCTGGTTTCTGAAAATCATAATAGTCAAATTTCCGGAGCACTGTAAATGCAGTTGGCCCTTAAATCATGTAAGAATAATGATGCCAATGTTCTGCACAGTTCAAAATTAATATATAATTTTGTACAACTTAAAAAATTAATTTTTAGCAACTGACTATTATCCTATTGATAGTATATACTACAAATTAACACATTTTGTATACTATAATATAAATCTCAAAAAGAAAAATATAGAGATTTGTGCAACTGAGTTCACTGCAGTACTAGCTGTGGAACTAATATTTTTTCCTAATATATTTTTCTTCATTTTATAATTATAAATAATAAAAAAGTACTATCTGTATACATTTTAAATATTCAAAAACTAAATTTGAAGTTATTTTTAATCTTGTAAGTTACATAATTTATGTGCAGAATTTTTTATTTTAAAACCATGTAGCTCAAAAAGATTTTCAAGTGTATTTATTGAAAAGATCTGCCATAAGAAATAGATTAGTGTAATTCTAATGCATATACCTAAGGCACATGTTATCTCAAACTATGGACTGACACAACCACTGGTTTTCAAGGACTAAATAAATATACATGCTAATTTAATATTTAAACTAAAAAAAAAACTCAGCAATCTCCCATGAAAATTTAGAATTAATTATAAATTCTTATAAAAGCATCCTTTTATATTAAAATGTTTCAGTATTACTGATGCTTCTAATATTACAGCTGTTGGTATCCTTAATATCTACAATGGAAGATATTACAAAAATTAATATTCCGATATTTATGTGTATTCATTAAAAATCGATTACAACAGCTAAAATATTAAAACATATCCTGATGAAATTAATCAAATTTTAGCTACATAAAATATTCTATGAAACTAATTAATATTAATAAAAGAAAATTGGCTTTGTATTTATTTTCTTGCAGATAAACAGATCTTTCATGAATTCGGCTATTTCAGTAATTTAGAAGAACTATTCATGAACTATGAATGTATACTATTATTACACTTATATTTAAAAGTTTGGAAAACGTTATTCAAGATCTCAGGAATAGTTTTCAATAAACTTATATGCAGTTAAATTTCTTAATAAAAACATTATTAATACTGGTAAGCATCAGTTATAAATCTTACCTCGTTTTCTGCAGAAATTTGCACAGATGTTTCATAATTAATTGATTTCTTCATTTTGGCCTTAACATAGCTTGTTATAAGTACCGTGATATCTGGCATTACTTTGAAATAAATATTGTTCACGTTTCTCCTTGAATAACAAAAGACCCTTCTTGTTGACATCAAGGAAAGAGAAATCATTTCTAAACATATTTTTTAATTTCTCATGATAGCCATAAATTTCTAAATTCGAAAAATCAATTAATTTCAATAGAATATCTGCTATCGACTCCATTGTAAACATAGCACATGTAGATATTGTTGTTATTAAACCACGTGACCACATTTTCCCTCTTCATCTCTTGCGGAATGTATCTCATTATTTGGAAGTAGTAACGATGTGACTTTTTTTCCGTTCATGCACAATATAAAAAGATAGGAACTATGTAACTCTGTTTCCGCTTCTGCACAACGGAAGGGAAAGGAAAATAGGTTGCCATATATTAAGAAGTTCGCCAAGTGAATTATTCTTGGTGTAACTGAAAAAAATTCACCAGGATAAATTTTTGAAGAATTTCTCCATAAATTTCACACCAAATTTTACAAAATTTAATATTTAGTCATAATTTGAGTCATAGAATCGAAATATAGAAAAAAATTGGAAAAACAGACAAACAATTGTTATGTTATTTCAGAAAAAGTCTGATTTTTTGTCAAAATACTTATATTAGAACAATGCTATATATAAATCTAATACGTATTCTAAGTCGCGCTTTGAAGACATGAAAAACATAAGTTAAATTTCGTCAATTGACCCAATAGAACGAGAGATATAGAACTGTCCCTTTTTCTTCTTTTGCACAGTGTACATTTTAATTACATAATTAGTGTAATTACAAAGACTTATTAATTATTGTATTATTAATTAAAGACTTATTGTATTTTAATTTTGCAATTTTTGTCTCTTTACCTTTGCAACACTATTTCTGAGAACCTGAATAACAAATTTGGTGACAGGTTTTGTTCATTTGGAATTTCATCTAATCTTTTCCTCGCTTTGTTGACAAAGTAGCTGAAAAAAGTCAGATAGCTGCTGTCGATGATCACACATACATATTCCTTTCTGTTGTTAGCTATTATAAGGCCTGCAGAAGATTTAGGCTGTAACGTATTATAAGTTAAACTTTTAGTTCATTCTGGGTAGAGTTTCTTAATTTATATCTAGGCTTACAAGTGTTGTGCTGTCTCTGCAAGTGAAAATGTTGCTCAGGAAGAAAAGAAAACAAATCAATATGACAACAGAAATAAAATTGGATGAGTTAAGAGACTGGTAAAGGAGAAAAATATTAATAAATTTGCCATGGATTTAGGTGTTGAAAAAATATTATAAGTTGTGAATAACTCATATTTTCTTCTGTCATTTTCAGTAAATCTTCACCCTTTCGGTCTACATTAAGTCAAGTTTGTAAGACTTTATTGTAATTAATACCCCTCTTGGATGATTCTAAGTGTTTTGTTAGAATGGCAGCCAAACTTGTGTTTGCGTGATCTGTAATAGATGTTAGCATCAGCCAATCATGCTTCTTCTGTCTTAGTCTTGTAGTTATTTTTATATGTCCTTGTATAGTAATCCACATCTACACAAGATTTTAAGTTACCCTTTGCTGCTGCTGCTCCCCCGTCTTCCACACACATACTTATTTGCTTAAATTTTGACTTTATTTTTAGTATTCCCATAAACCTTTGTTTTCTTTCCTTTTTCATCTTTCCCTGCTCTGCCCCTATATTAACTGCAATTAAATTTTTGCCTGGTTTGAGTTTGGCCTGCTGATGATTGGGTAACTAAAGCCACAAGGCAAAACCCTTTCTTTTTTGGTTAAACTTATCACATGATTAATGGGCAGTTTACATAGGATTGTATTTTGGCCATGTTAATGCATCCCTTTTGTAAATCCTGTACAAAAACAGTACGTTTTATAGGCAAGTAGACTTTGAGTGCTTTGCGACAATTAAATAATTCAATGTATTTGATTGTCATCCTAGATATTTGTTTTATCATCCATGATGAAAAAACGCAATGAAATGCAAAATAGCAAATCAGCTCTCTTTTAAGCTAACACTGTAAATATCAGCTAAGGAAATTCATTTACTATTTTGCATTCCTTTATTAATACAGAAATTATGTATGTTATTTGACAGCAATGAATTGAATTTCTTAAAACATCCAGTTTCTATATGAAAAGATATGAGTTAACTGTTTTTGAAACTGAATTCTTTCTCTCTTGAAAAAATTACAGCTAGAAATGGAATTTTTCTCCCAGTCCTTAAATTACAATAAACTTTTAATTTTAATGATATGATATGTAGGTAGTCTTAGACAAAATCATAACACTCTTTGTTAAATCCCTGTATTATTAAAAAAAAACTAAGCTCTGATATATTTCAAAAACAATAAAAAAATAAATCTCACTGAATTGTGTTTTCAATAATTAGACTTGCAGCCATCAGAATGTTATGCCACGATCAGATCATTTCGCATGATGAGCTTCAAACAGTTGAAAGGGGCTCTTATTTGTGTATTTTTTAATTTGTCTAAACAATTTGAAATTTATTTTTTATTTCTGCAGCAGGGTATGATTTACGTTTTCTTGCTGCAAATAAATTTTATAACTTTTTATTATTATAACATTATAAATACTTTTGATGATTTCTACGTAAAACACTGATTTTTTATAGAATATCAAAAATTTATGTGTGAGAATTATGGAAATATAAAAAATTTATGTTTTGATAATAGATTCATGTAATGATGTGCTAATTTATGTGCATAATTTAAAAATTTATTTTCACAGAATGGCGAGAGTCCTCTTCATGCAGCTGCTTTCTATGGTCATATTAATGTAGTCAAAATTTTAATAGAATCTGGATCTGATCCTTTCCTTAAAAATAAGGTAAGTGTTAGATATACAGTAAGTACTGCTTAATGTGATCGCAGTTAATGTTATCATTCAGATATTGTTATCAAATCACCGAAATCCTGTGTATTTAAATATGAAAATATAGAAAATACATCATTTGTTATAATCAACAATACAGTTAATGTTTATGAAAATTCTGCAGAATGAATTTTTAAACTGAAGTAAAATCAGCAAATCAAAGATAAAATCGAAATAGAGTATAGAAATTGCCAAATGACAGACACATGTTGCTAAATAAGAAATTAGCCCATTCTCCAGTTTTAGGAAAATCGATACAATTAATCAGGATTGACGAATAATACAGAGGAATCTAGGCGACATTGCTTTTTTGCGCCAAAATATCCGAAAAACATCTTTTGCACCAAAAAATCTGAAAAAATTCAAGTTGCAGCATTGTTGACAAAACAAGATACCTCCCATTCGTTTTCTGAAACAAATCCAAGAACATATATGATAAACTTTCCGAAGAAGAAAATGACGAAATTAGCGAATTTCCTATGCTGAGATGAGGGATGCCTTACAAATATTAGCTATAGCTGTGTTAAATTAAATTCTACTGATATTTTGAAGAATTCCTCATCACTTAACGTTGTTTTGGACAAACGTGATTACATCAAGCAGTACCTGTTGCATTCCATTTGTTACTTTTCATCACAGTAGAATAAATTTCTTTAATACATTTTTCTTGCATAATTTACTGATGAACAGAATCTTTCTAAACAAACTACTGTGAAAATTTTAATTTCTTAAAAATAAAATTAATTTTGATTTGAATTAAAAACTAAATTATTTTATTGCTAGAGAATAACTGCTCACTTGAAAATAAACTCCAGTATTAAACATTATGGCACTCTGTTCTTATTTCTTTACTCCTAATAATAATAAATAATATTATTGAATTGTAATATTATGGTATATACTGATGATAAATAATATTACTGAATTAATATTAAGCAGTGAATGCTGATGAATTTGAGAAGGTTAATTTGCATTGTATATAAGATTGTTTCATCTCATATTTATTTAAACTCTTATTCTCAAAAAATAATATTTCTGTATTTCATAACCATATTCACATCATAGATTTAATATATAGCACTTATGGCATTTCATAATATACAGTAGAAAATATTTTTAATCAGATGATGTAGTATATAATAATGTAATAACTTCTGATGAAAACTGTGTGACTGCAAACTGAAAGACAGTTTTGAAATCAAGATTTTTGATGTACAAGTAGATGCTGTAGTAGTTAAATTGTTGCAGATAAATGATTGGACTTGAAAATAAAGTTACAACCAAGCTAAAAAAGATATTGTTGTGAGCTACAGGTTTGGTGCCATCTCTTTAAATAATGACTCTAGATAAGTTGAAAGAAATTTACAATTTGTTATGAATAAATATTGACAGACAGCAAAATGAATAGTTGTAAACAGTTCATTTGTGGTAGATCATTTCAACTCGCAGGTGAAGAGAATTCACAAAGCCCAAAATCAATTTATCAGAGGGCTAAAGGGTGCCACTTCTTGCCAGATGGGTTTTCCATGCGTTGTTTCTATTAATGTTTCAACTCAGGACTTTTTAAGTTCCCCAATGCTGCAGAGATCAGTCTGGTGTTATGGAGTCTGTGACTGAGATTTCACAGCCATAGTTTCCCTTATGTTTCGAATGTCTGTTGAATTTCCATGTTATATTCATGTAGCCATTGTATCCATCTAGCCACCTGAACTTCGGATTTTTTTAATGAAGCAGCCAACTTAATGATACATAGTCAATGCACAACAAGAATTTCCATAGAGATAGTGGTGGAAATGTTCTACTGCATTCATGATGGCTAATAGCTCTTTCTGGTTACTAAGTAATTTCTTTCTAGCTTTGAGAGGCATTTATTGAAATAGACAATCATGTGCTTCTTTATTTCAGCTGCTTTCTTCCACCTTGGAGTTCTTTACTTCTGTTTTCATTTCAGCAGAAGAGACTTTAACAGCAAGAACACTCAACACTGAGGGTGGTGGGGGAAGTCTAAAGGCAGCAGAAGCAGTCAAGACTCAAAGCAACTGTATGATGCTGAAAAACATTTGCAAAAGCAGTATTTCATACAAGGAGAGCATTAAGTAAAAATCATGAAGGCACAATCCTGTATTAGTGAAATCATACAAAGGAGCAGAAATTAATAAAAGTAAAAAATTCAGGTGTTGATGTTGTACAGATATCTTCAGTTCATGGTTGAAATCTTGGAGCCTTGACTCCAAGGTAATTAATAGGATCTCCTTACCACTTGTAGACATCGGTACTGACATAAATGTTGATGTAGCGTGGCAAAACTTGCTGGAGAGAAACCTGCTGTATGCTAGTGCATGGAAAAATGAATGCCCACATCAAGTTGTATCCTGCATTTCTGAGAACACGGTCTGTGTGGCTGATACAACAGATCCATACATTCTTGGACTTTTTAAAGAAATATGGGCTTTATTTAGATATCAAAGATAACGAACTGCACACCTTTAATGAGGAAACACTGATATTTTAATGAAAATGATGTGTGCTGCTATAAGGCAATTGCTTGTGAGAATATTACTATTCTTCCTAATAAATAAAATCAGTGGTGCAGTGATAGCTCAGAAGTTGCACATGGGAATGACTGATCGAAGTGAAACACATATGCAGAAGAACTTGCAATTGCTGCTGTCTTAGTGGAGTTAGCATCAGGAAATGTGATGGTCAGAGTCATCAAAGTAAGTAAGGAGCCACATACTTTTATTAAAGCAGAGAAAATTTCTTCATATTTACTGTGACAAATATTGTGCAAAGTTCCATCAAACAGAAGTAGACTTCTTCAGACTCCTCTAGCTGAACAAAATTCACAAGTTTTTTACAAAAGCTATAATAAAATAAAGCTGCTGTTTTGCCTATTTTTAATTTTACACTGAAATATTTCAATTTAACGTCAACGTTTTTGGCTGGAAGTGTGTATGAGATGTCAGCAGTCACTTTTCATAAAGACGTAACGAAATGTTAAAGGCAACAGAATCTCACTGATTTGGCTGCAAGATTATTTAAGATTGTATTTTGTCTACACTTCATATAATTATTTAAGATTGTACAGTAGAAGTCCAGAAATTCGCAAAGCTTGGGACCAGAGGTTGTGCTGATTTTAGGATTTTGCGGATTTCAGGACAGAAAAGATAAATCTTAATATTCAGACTCAAAGTGCAAAATAAATAAGGCATATTAGATACATTTAATTAAATTATTATATACATTATTACAATAATTTATTATATGCATTAAATTATTATTACATTTGTAAATTGATTATATTATTCATTTTATTATATGTACACAGCATCCAGGTTTGCCGATTTCGCCTCATGCAAAGATTTCCAGTTTCGTATTAGAATAATTGTTGCTGTAAAATTTCAACAGCTTTTCTTTATTTTTCCGTATATCACACATAATCGTGTCGCAATTCCATACAATTCTGCTAATTCCGAGGAGTGGAACCTGCCTCCATCTTTTGCAGAATTTGCACTTTTGCATTAGCATCAATGCAACGTGTTTACGTTTTTCAAAGTTGCAAGCAGTAAAATCATGAGTGTGTTTCTTATCTGTCATTGTATTAAAAAGGGCTGAAATTAAAAATATTCCTAATTTATCTACAAAATATCCGGATAAAAAATAAAGGCAGCATTAAATAATCTCGTGAAATAACAAAGCTCAGAAAATACAACAACGTGAATCGTGAACTAGAAAAATGAGTTGAGTGAATCATCTGCTTTTTTACCTCGATGCAGATTAGAGGGGAAAAAAAACTTTTATCATGATGTCAATAATTTGTGATTTCTGTTATGACTCATTATTATTCGGTAATTATGACGTCATTATTCAGTAAGTATTTTTTCTTCAATATTTCGTACTCAATGTTGCAGTTTCCAGAACCTATAAACTGAATGTTTATATTTTGAGAGGCAACACGGATTTCAGGTCGGTGGATTTTTAGTATTTGACTGTATTCCGTTTTGAGGACAGTAAAAAAAAATTCAGTGAAAACATATAGATCAACTACGAAAGCTTCTATTTTTATTTATGTGTAAACATGGTTTTAGTGTGTCAGCCTAGAACATCTTTATTTCGTTTGCAACTTTACAAGTATTTATCTTTTATCATTTGTAAATTTTTCAAAGTATTAATAGTTACATTTTTTTTTTTTCTTTGTAGACTGGTCATACAGCATTGCAAAAATCTCAAGAAGGAGGACATATTATAATTTATCAGTATTTATTAAGAATTGAGAATGAGAAAAATTCAACTGCAGCCAGATCTTCCTGACAAGCTGTTAAAATAAGCATATAGTTTTATTTAAATTTCTGTTTCATGTTGTTTTAAGCATTTTTTATAGTATTATACTATGTATAGTATTTGTCAAGGTCTTTGTCCATTCAAAATCCAATCCTAATTATGTAAATGAAAGACATTTTGTAAAATAAAACTAGTATAAAAATGTTTTGTTTGCTCTTTGTTCCAAAAGAATACAATTACTAAACTTTAATTACAAACATTTTCACACCCGGAATTGAGCCAATCTTTTGCTTAAATTCGGATTTATTAAGCTTTACATCAAAAACCAAACAAAAATTACAATTTTTAAAAAAAAAAAATGGGATACAAAAAACATTGCCATGCCAAAAAAAAACTAAACCAAATCAGTAAGTCTCTAAAACGACTTCTCTTTAAAAATGACGTCATATTTTACGGAGCTCCTAATGATTTTTGAATTTCCCTGTCATCTCGGTGATAGTTGCCACCATAAGCGATAAAGCAAAAGCCATTAGGAAAGACGAAGTGGTTGCAGCATGAACTCCAGTTACCTGCGTTAAACGAACTAGTAGTCCTCTGTGTCCTCGGAAAGCCAAACAGCGAAGTTATTGCAGAATGCACAATTAAGCGATTAAAAGAGGAATACTGCAGGACATGTTATTCAAGAAGTTTCCACGCGTACATCTTTCAATGTTTGGTCAGACAAATCAGTTTGGCTCAGAATAGAAGTGATGCGGGAGATCATCCAATCAAGCAACATCCAAGACGTCTACCGATTCCTAAGCAGGGAGAAGGTATCTAAAGGACATGCAAGAAATCGAAGTTATCGAGCCTTCAGCAAGTCCTTGGGCCTCTTCTGCTGCCGTGGACAGAAAAAAGAATGATTCAACTAGATCTTACGTTCACTATCGCCGGTTGAACAACATCATGAAGAAGGGGAGCTCCCTATTTCTAGAGCTGATGACATTCTAGACACTCTTTCTGGAAGCAAGACGTTTTCGACACTTGATTTAAAGAATGGATATAAGCAGGTAAAGATACAATCTGATGACCAAGAAAAGATGACATTTTCAAGGTTAAGGACTTTGGCACAAGGCCTTTTGGATTATGTGTTGCGCCGGGAACATTCGAACGCCTTATGGAGACTGTACAGAAAGGTTTTTTCCACAAAGCCTGTTTGATATACCTGAATGATATCATCAGCGCCGGAAAAAGTTTTAAAGAAAGTTTGGAAAATATTGGGAAGATGCTTAAGAAATTAAAGGAATACAATATAAAGTTGAAACCTGACAAATATTAATTATTCAGACAGGACGAGGCTTACCTTGGACGTGCCATAACCACCGAAAATGTGTGTACAAATCCAAAAAGTTGTCGGCAATTAAAGACTGGGACTTTGTAGCTACTATAAAAGATTTTGTGAAGGACTTTTTTCCACCGCAACAGCCTTACACAACCTGACAGAGAGCAAGCAAAAGTTTTCGTGAATAAAAGAACGTGATAATGCATTTAACAAACTGAAGGAGGCCTTTAAAATATGCAACAATCCCTATGTAACCTCCACTCGACAAATCATTTATTCTTGATATGGATGCGGGCAATGGGAGTGCCGAAGCTCATCGAATAAACGCAGATCATGTTGCAGCATATTGGAGCAAATGTTGGTGTAAACCAGAGAAAAATTACCGTGTCGCTGGAAAAAGAGTTGCAAATGACCAAACCACATCTACAATCAGGTGGCATGGTAGCGAGATTTAATCAAACCATCTTTAATAACCTCGCTGATGGTTTCCAGAAACCAGCAGGACCGAACCAGAAGTTACCTCTGTTTTTACTAGTCTATCACAGTACTGTCCACGAGACTACCAGTTATCTCCCCTCCCAGGTACTCTTCGGTCGCGACATTCGTCTGCCTTATTAACTGTTGTTCAGTGTCACCCTCCAGACTCGCCTTCGTAGCCTGAAGAGTACATTCATGATCTCCAGGCCTAGTTTGAGGTGATGCACAATTTAGCATGAGAACAAGTCAACTTTGTGATGGAGAAGATGAAGACACTATGTGACACGAGAGCTACAGGACTTCGATTCAACGTAGATGACAAGGTGTGTTTAAGGAATCCGATTTCACGGGAAGGACTGAAGGACTTTCTTTGAAACTACAGTCATCTTGGGACAATGCTTACACAGTTCTAAAGAGACTTAACCACATCTTAGTTCGGATCTGTAAGTCATCAAATTCTAAGTAGTCATTCTTTATGACTGGTTAGCTTCTTACTATGAAAATCATACTTACTGATGTACACAAATTGAAGAAATATAATGGTTTCATTTGTACAAAATTAAAAATAAAATATTAATATAGAAAAAGTTTTCTGATATTAATATATTAAGTAATGAGCATTCCTATGTAGATTGTAATAGAAAATGCTAATGAACTTAAAAAAAAAAAAAAAAAAATCTTATTCACAGACTCTTAGAGAATTCCTATTCTATTAAACAATAGCAGGCTTCAGCATTGCCACATAGTCAAGTCGTAACATTACTTATAAAAATTTAAAATATTTCTAGTTTAACATATTTTTGGTACAATATTTAAATTAGGATTCTAAAGGAATAAAATTCATGAGAATATTAACATATTTTTAGCATTTGATAATGTATAAAATTACTTAAGTGAAAATTCTTTGGGCATATTTATTGTAACATAATTATAAACTAAAGAATATTACGAATCACAAAAGATATCAATCATTATGAATCACAAAAGTAAATCATTGCCTCAAATTATTTTATTTACTAACTGACCTTAAGGCATGTTGAAAGTCATGTAAAATATCCAAAATATCGAAATTAACTCAGTCAATTTTTGTATACCAAGAGTCAAATCATTTTGTTTTGTGTGACTAAAATTTGGCTATAATGTAATAAGGATAAGGACTGAGGTGACATATAAAAACGATTTTATAATTTTTACAAAATTGATTTTTTAAATTAAAAAATACCAAAACATGAATATTTTCACCATTTAAAATACATTTGTAATTAGAAGTATATTTTTATGACAAATGTTTGTGAAAATTAAGCCTGGATAAGGACTTTTTTTAGCTATGGTTATTAGTTTTAACACAAACTGTTACCTTTTCATGGAAATGAGATTGATTTGAAACATAAATTTCTTAGGCAAATGTATTTAATAATAAAGAAAGAAACATATTTCATTACAGAACTTTTATTCTTTATAAAATAATGTCACAAAATATTTAAAAACAAACTGTTTAAAACTGTTTCGCAGACCTTGAGATTATAATGCACATATAAGAAATGTTTCCTTTAAATTTTTATAACTGCATTAATAAAATCATAGCTGCACAAAATGAAATTTTTACAGTATAGAGCATGAGCAGTACATTAATTAGATCGTCATAGACATTTTATATGATGTCATTAACATGACTGTGAGCAACAATCTAAAATAACTGCCTGTCTCAGCAAACATAAGAAATAAGTATATGGGGCTTTACACCCACATGCAGTTTAGGGAGGCAATTTTGCATTTTATAGAGCATGAGCAGTACATTAATTAGATCATCATAAGACATTTTTATATGATGTCATGAACATGACTGTGAGCAACAATTTATGGGGCTTTACACCCACATGCAGTTTAGGGAGGAAATTTTGCATTTTAGCAATGCTGCATTAATCAAATGGTTAAAAAAATGCTACTGTCAATATTCTTAGATAATGTTATGTAATATGATTTTTCAATTTACTGTTTAATAACAAAGAGTTTTTGGTCATTAACACTACTTTTTTTTTTCTGTACTGTGACTTGGCTCCTCCCCTTTATGAATCATATTTTCATCTCACTATGAATTATTGGTATAAAGTTTATGCTTAGGTTTTTATTTTACTCTTTGTCTGTTAGCCTTAATTGTATCACTATGCATATTTTTAAAATGATACAGCCATAATTTAGACCTAATTCACGGCCAAAATTATGGATTTATGTTATTTTTTAAATCTTACATGAATTTTAATTATAGCATAGCATTATTACAGGTTTTTTAATTAAAGTATATTTGAAAAGACATTCTGTAAGTAAGAAAAAATATAAATCTCAATCTCTGTAATGGGCTATCTATAAAGAGAATGCAGTGAATGGGAATGAATGTATAGCAGAGAGAATTAGTAGAAAATGCTAACTACAAAGCTATAATGCAATGAGATAAAATCTGAATGTAGTTCAGGGTTTCTTTTACCACAAGAGAAAAGAAAACTATTCTGATGTTTGAAAGCAGTTTCTAAATCTATTGGATTTTGCATTCCTACCTCTGCGACTGCACTGAGCAAAGAAAGTGAACTATATAATTGCACAGAAAAATCTTCCCGACAGAGAGAGAGAGAAAAGTTTCAGTTCTGATGGTGCTGAAGACTGTCCTTCATGCTATACCTATCCAAGGTGTTTGTCGAAGTGGCCAGTAGCCGTGATTCTCTCGAGCATGGTGCAACAGTGTGATGCATAGAGTCCTAACATGGAATAGCACAGTGGAAATATGAATCTAGCCAAGTATTCCAGGTTATTGTTCTACATCACCAAGTACCTGCCTGTCTGAATGAACTGTTAAGTAGGCTCAAATCATGTTGTACCAAGTACATTCGTGTGTTACCTATCATATGATTTTACCTAATGTGTCATAGTCTGACATGATATGTTCATCTATTTTGTTAAACTTATAAACTTAAAGAAAGTGACTGATTAAATCTTATGTTTTCAACTTAGTGCAATTTGCACTTCTGCAAGAGAGAACCTTGGTTCTACACATACTATTGCATTTAACTCTCAAGGTCTTTCAAAGAACAAAAGTTTAAAAAACAACAAAACCTAGTACATATAACTTAGAATATCTAAAAAAATGTATTTACAAACTACTCAAAAGAAAAGTTTTACAGATTGAATACTATATATCACAAAAATTAACACTATACAAAACTGCTTTTGATATAAAATTCTATGGAATGTCATAACTATATACAAATATCATTTAATCATTTTAAGTATATATGTGCCTTTACTAACAATATCTGTTTACCATTTGTTATATTTCTATGAAAGTCAGTTTTCAATATGTAAAATATAACAATTTTCAACACTCTGCAAACTTTGAACAAATTTTAATATATAAATTGTGCAATGAGAAGAGATGATGAAAGACCACTTGCATAAAGAAATAACAACATTTACTAAACTAACCAGGTCTTCATCTTTTTGCAAAATGCTGTTAATTTTCTTTTTTTCAAATTTGCATAAATTTTTATATTGTTTAATATTTTTATTAATTCAAGTTAACTTTATAATATATTTAGATGATATGTATACATATAAAAAAATTAAATAATCCTGTTAACATAAAGTCTAAAACATAAAGTTTTCCATGGTTAAAAAAAAAATTAAATTAAAATAATCATTTCAAATCTTAATCAAAGAAATGAATCATTTTAATCAGATTGAACTAAACAGAACAAAAATGTTTACAATGCATTTAAATTTTAAATCTATGCTTAGTTTATTTGCATATTTCACTCATGAAGATACTAAAAAATCTGATTATTTGAAAAATAAAATCTTTGTAGATTCATAATTTAACTGAATCACCAAAAAATTTCAATCATTGTGTAATTATGCCTCATTAAATAATTATATTAATTTCAAGCATCCAAATTAACTGGACCACATCAACAGCCAAGAAGTGATGACAGCTGAATGCTAGGGAATTTAACCTGGTTTGATCTTAGGCAACTTGTTGGCTGTGTTAGGCCCTATATCACACGGCCTTTGTTTCACACGAACAACTGTTTCAGACAATTTTTCTGCCTGGTTTACTATTGAAAGAAAGACGTGCGACTTTTTCCTTCCTTCGCAAAAAAATTGCAGGTTGTTCGTTTTCAACCAATCAGCTATCAGCTTCGAATGCTATCAGCTTGTTTGTAATGGGGAACCAGTTTCCCCTTTGTTAACCCCAAAGCAATCTGTCTTGATTGGCTGTTGTGACAAAGCAGAAAAATTGTTCCAAACAGTTGTTCTTACAAAACAAACCGGCCTGTGATAGCAGTCTTATGGTTTTTCCCATGCATAATGTGAATACAACCCAGTTTCCTTTAAAAAGTTCTCCATTCCCTCAAGGCATTTCTTCCCTCATGTTCTTTCCCATATTTAAATAACCTAACTTAAAATCAAATTGACTTAAATATTAAGAATATTAGTCAGATGGGATTCAAACGTAAGTGTTATGCATTAAATAATATACATCAAAGTACCAAATAACAAAAAATTTAAAATGACATCAACTCAAAAGTTATAAAAATATCTCTCTTATTTGTGTGAGAACAATTAATAATAATAATTAGTTGCCAGAACATGATTTAAATACCTAATGACACATTAAACAATTTTTTCAATTGCATGAAACACATTCATTAAATGTTAAATGTTATAACATTTTGAATGCTGTCAGTAATAAGAAATACAAACACACACTTCACACTGACGCTTTTTCTGCAATGAATAAGCCATTTTATGGGTATTAGATTGACATGTTCAAATCATTCATTGACATGTTACAAATCAATCATGTTCATTTTATTTGTCCATCAAATAAATATAATGAACAAATACTTAAAATTACAACATGCATTCTTCAAACTAATTTTTAAAGAAATCAATGCAATTAATTTTCAACACATATAAAATATCCCATATAATATTATTAAAATGTAAAATGAGTTTTTTAATTTATTTGCATGTACTGGGAACTGTCTTAATTTCCAATGCAAACAGTTACATGTTATTGTTGCAAAATAACCCTCCATCATTGCTTTATATACATCAAAGGCTAATAGGCAAAACATTTAAAATAAATAATAAGTCTGGAAGCACTCAGATTTTAACAATCACCCAAAAGGGCTCCTTTAAAATTTAATATGGCTTATTTATATTAACATGGAGACATTATATATCTTCTGCATATTTGAAAAGTGAAAAAATATGTAATGTAATTCTGTAAAAGTACTGAATGTTTTTAATTAAATGCACTTTTATTTAAACCAATCAGATTAAAAGTAAAAAAGTAATATTTTTAAGAATTGCATATATTGATTTTAAATAGCTTAGTTTCTTAATGAATAACAGATAGATTGAATTTGAAACAGTACATTTTGCCGAATGACAATATACTTGAAAGCGAAACAAAATTTTCACAGAAGATGACATTTGAAGTAAATCAGCACAACATTGTGTTTCGAGACTTTTGGGCTAAAAAAGAAACAGTTTATAAGTTCATTTAGTTAGTTAGAATTTTTTTTCCTGCTTTTAAGAATATATTTTTATTCCTTCTTTTCCTTTCAATTTAACTGCATAGAAAGGAAAAGTATGAAATGAAAATTAATTTAACAGATTTTTCAGCTCTCTCTCTCTCTATATATATATATATTGCAGCGAAAATTGCTCCTTTCGCACGAGCTCCTCGTAGCTTAGTGGAGAAGACACAGGACTCGAAATCCGAAGGTCCCGGGTTCTAAACCCATCAAGGGCAAGATGCCTGATAATTGTTTTTATGTAAGTCTCCTTTTTGTTAATGTTGTCTTATTTATGTAAATTTCCTTCTTATTCTTCCAGAACATTTCGAGTCTGAAATGTTCCAGCATGTTCATCAGCTGTATATAAGTAGTTCTTCATTCAGTTTGAGATAATAAAAAGTCTTGAGTTTAGACTTGAGTACTTGCCTGTTCATTTGCGACAATATATATATATTCTTTTTCCCCTATCCTTAAAAATTAAGTATTTTTTTAGTTGTTAACTTACACATATATAATATTTTCTATTTTTAAGGAATAAATAAACCATATTCATAAGAAATACTACTGCTACACTAATATGATGATTTGTAATAATATAAATAATTTTTAAAAAAAAAAACAGAATAAAAATCAATCACTTAATCTGAAATGGAAATAAACTGAAATTAAGAACTTTTATTGTTTCCATATTATTATTAGTGTCACTTAGAGAGCTGTAGTTAAAATTTTTCAGCAAATAGGGAAATCAAAACAGAAAATGATTTATGTTAAGCTTGCTGAGATTGAAATTTCATGCATTGGTTTCTGTACAAAATAGAAAATTTAATTGTAACATGAACAAGAATATGTATTTAAAATATTCTTCATTATCTAATGAAAATCCTGTGAGTTAATTATGCAGTCTAAAAATTTTTTTAAATTTTAAAAATTGCTCTCACTGTACATAGATAAAAAAATATATTGTTAAACATAATAATCTGTAGTTACTTTTACATTCAAAGTACTCTTCAACAACATGATATATAACATCAAAATTCGTATAGCTTATCATTGTTATTACAATAGGTCAGAAAATTCTATCAACTTAATGTGTCAAGAATATAATGAGCAAGGATAAGCTTGTGCAAATATATCTCACTTGGTTTCTACCTTTATATACTTATTTTGTGTTTTGCATCCCCTGAAAAGATGCTTCCCTTTTTCACATATGTGACCCTTTTTTTACACATATGAAGAATGATAATATACTTTTTATCATCATGAGTTACTCAAAATAGATTGAATATAAGCTATCAAATTTTATGTAAAAAATCAACATTTTACAAACATTTCTGGCATCTCAATATTTAGCCTAATGATGTGATCATTATAAATTAATGGTGGACTAGATGATTCCGTATGACTAGAATAACTAGTATTTTTAAATCCTGATGATTTTAATGAACTACTTGCTGATATGGAAAAAGGATAACTTATGTCTTCTGATTCAAAGCTGACTTCTAAATTAGGAAGAGATGCTGAATGTTTTGCATCTGTACCTACAGGATTATCTGGAATTTTTGTGTCTATATCTTTGGTTAAAATCAAGCAAGAACAATGTATGTTGGATGACAAGCATCCAAAAGCTACAGCTGGACGAAAATGGTAATTAATTTGCCTATGCCTATTAGCAAATGCGTTTCTTTTGATTCTCTGTCTAGAAACTATGTCTATTTTTGGCTCCACAAAACCATATGAGCCTAGACTACAGTTAAGTGAATGAGACCTGTGCAAATCTGAAACACAAGATACATTTTGTTCTGCTGAAATGACAGAAACATTAGTATTTACATCTCCATTTAACTGTGTGACCTGGTGTATAGGAAAATCACAGTCATCTGCTGGATATATATCTGTAGTCACATGCATCCTGCGGCTAGTTTTCAGATTGCTGTAGTTTAATGTTATATTTTTGTTGTTGTTTGATGGTTCGTCCTGAAAAGATTGATTAAAGATGCAACAATTATTATTTGGTATTAACTTAAAGTATAGAAGCAATAACTGCTGAAAGTACATGAAAACAATATTCTGAAAACAAAGAAACTCTTCCTCTTTCCAATATAAAAAGAAAAGATATTTAGCAGTGTCAAAAGCATTAAGTTTCTTTTAATGCAGATGTGAAAAGAACATGAAAAATTCAAATTTTGAATGAATATGAAGGTATAATTCAGATATGCACAATGCTAATTAATATCCAATATAAAAACTACATATATGCATATTAATACATAAATAAGAGCAGAAAGTTTTAATTTAAATCCTTCAGTATTCTTTATCTTCCTTTACTTTTGATTCTCTTATTAGTATAATTCAAAGGCTATTTTTTTCTAAGGAAAAATGATTCCTTACACCACCTATAATTTTTGATAATATAAATTTAATTATGTAATGATAGATTTTGTTTAATATATTAGAAAATAAAGTCATGTCAAAGACGTTTAACATAACTGAAAAGTGTTCCACATTAGCACTCAAAACAAGCATTGCTTCAATACTGATAAACTAGAATTTCAATTATTAGAATTCCTTAATTTAGTAAGATCACATTTTCATACAAGTACTATTTTGCATCTATAATTTGTCCTCTATAATATTATTTGCATCTGATTCTTCTTATTTCAATGCATAATTGAATGTCAGTTGAATCAATTGAGTGAAATTAACCCAGCTTTCTTAGTGTGTTTTAGATCACGTTGAAAAATTTAGACTGGAGCAAGTGTTACTGAGATAAATCAAAAATAATAAAATAACATAGATGCTAATCTTGAATTATTAAAAATCGGAAGTTTTCACACAGCAAGAGTGACACAATTTCAAAAGAATTTTAAACTGATTTAAATTTACATTGTAATGCACGATTCAGTTTATTGAACCATTTATAACATGACTCCGATGTAAAATATATTAATACTTAATTAGATTCTAATTCAGAAGTCAAACAACAAAAATCCGCGTTATATTTACAAAATATTTACAATTTAATTTTTTTTATAAATATAACGCTGATTTTTGTTGTTTGACTTCTGAATTAGTATTTATTCGGCGTGTTATTGTGTCTTACTTAATTAGATATTCTAAATGTTATGTTGCTTGGGTAATTCCATTTTGAATTTTTTTAAAGAAAATCCTGATTAAAAAAAAAGAAGTTATTATTTACCAAACTAAAATCAAATTAATAATTAATGTATGTGGTAGTATGTGTATAAATTTAGTTATTTTCCATTTCCTGATATAAAAAAATTAAACACAAATATTAAATGATTAAATATTGATTGAATCTTCTTCTAGAGTTCTATGAATATTTATTGTAGATTTCAGACATTTCATACCAAATAAAATTTAATAATAAAAATTACATTGAAATTTACTGGATGAAGGGGAATAGAATTTGCACAATTTAAGTTTCATTCATTCAATAAATTTCATTTATTGCTGGGAAAATTTTTGGTAAGCTAAAAATTAAAAACTACGAGATCTGAAGACCTATCAGAAGAAAATGACATGTGATGGAAAGCTGGGAGAGTTTACAGATAAGATATAAGAAAGAACAGAATGACAAAATGAGCATTTGTAAATCTTTTTCCATCGCTTTTAACATTTTAAAAATGAAAACTTTAATTTGAAAGGAATTCTAAACTAGTGTTCTTTATGTAATGAAAATAAAGCATAAAATATTTTTTTTCATTTATAATAGACCTAAGAAAATATTTATATATCAGTACTAAAATAGCACATCAATAACATACTGCCACTTATTTTATTATTTTTAAACGAACAGTAACTCTCTCAAAAGGTATTTTTGGCAGGTTAGTTGAAAAAGTAATATTTGATTGCATCAGAATTTTTTGATTTTTCAATGTATGCTATTTATAAATGGATAAAAAATTTAAATACTTTTCCATCATTATGGTATTCTGATTCTTGGTAAAAGTTTTTTCAATAGTTTCTTGTTTTGAGCTCTGAATCTATTTAATATTTTATTCATCCATCCAAGGAGAGTTTTCATTTAAAGGTAATAATGCATTCACAATAAAATTTTAATTAACCTTTTATTTAAAAGTTTTGTTGTTATCAATGCTTAAATTAGTAGATTGTTGATATCAGTTAAATTTTAACTAAATATAAATATACTACAAAAATTAAATATATTTAACAATTATATTACAAAACACTATATCATTTTTATGGGTATTTCATCTATTTTTCTTACTGTCCAAGATAATAAAAAAGCAATATGTGGACATTCTTTGTTTTTTATATGATTGTTTTTCAACGATCCAATATTTCAGGCTTTTTTATTTACAACTAGAAGCCACATATTTGGCATGTAACATATTTTTTTCAATTTATCATACATTTTAAAATATTGCTGCGTGTGCACCGGTTCGTTAGGAATTGAATGCACAAGTCCAATGAAAAATGAACAAAATTTATTATTATCACAACAAAATGCTTAAATTTCCTCAAATATTCGTGCAGTATTACAATATCTCACAATAGTTATCTTTTAACTACTCAAACGTTCAAGAGAACTTAATTCAAAACAGCTAGAGAAAGCTAATCCGCGAATTCACCAGTCAACAAGAGCAGTTTTCTAAACAAACTCTTAAAACAACAACAAACAAGCTAACTACAACAACTGAGTTGAGAGGTTTTCCTCCTTATTATAAGATTTTAAATCGCACACAAGAATTTTTTAGAATTTTCTCTAAATAAAAAAAAAAAGATATTTATTTATTTATTTATTAAATGCTAAATGCACGTGCTCTTGTATTTTTAATTTTCCGGCTTAGCTTTCCTTTAATATTTGTCACGTGCTACACTGCACGGGGAATAAAACAATTTAATTTATAATTCAACTAACCTTAGCTATTTAAATACCAAAACCATAACAATATGATCATTTCTTTAAGTGCGATTAGTTAGCTTTTGTCCTTACAAGTGATGCATCATACAAATTATTTTTATTTACCAAAATGCATCTGCAAACAAGAAAATTATTGGGTTTGAGATATGGGGATTTTTGGTGTTCAATAATGCTTTGGCCCATTGCTTGTGAAATAAGGAAAGGATGCTAGTATAGATATAAAAATAAATAAATAGATTTGCACTATATGATTTAAGAATACTTACATGATATTCACTTGAAAATTTTGAACGAAATAATGTTATTGGGCCACTTGGATGAAAAAAGCGATAATATATCATCATACTGCATAATCCTACAAAAAGAAACAAAAACTCAGAAACCAATTAATATGTATATAAAGCATGAATTAAATGATAATTGATGATAAACTAAATGGAATTTGCCTTACAAAATATGATATTAAATTTTTATTCACACTAATTTCAAAACTGATTTCTCTTCCTCTAATTTTACATATACCTAACTTATTTCAATTATTACATTGTCACTAATTTTTAACCTAGAAATATCACTTCCTTCATGATAACTCATGAAAGGGAATCCTAACAAGAAGACACCATAAAGCAATCAGAAAATGTCTCCCTTGTCAAACAATTGTTTTTCTTTTATTTTGAAAGAACTCTGTATCAGTTTTATGCCTATATTTTGTACTATTATTTTGAGGATTACCAACTAAATTGCTCACAGGTGCAGAAATTATTTTATTTTTTCCACAGCTATTTTTAACAGTGGAAGTAATAACTACACATCCATTTAAACATTTACTTCTCTCATAAAAAATGTAAAAAGTGGGTACCCTTGGTTGAGGATTCTACATAAACATTTCTCTAAAGATAACCAGCATGTACATACATGTTTTAAAATTTGTCTTGTTTCCATATTATGCAGCTGCTGGAATTGCTTCAATATTCCCTTTCTTTTAAAGTTCATTTCAGGGTAATAATAAATATCAACAATGTATTCATCCTCACTTCCTGGTAAAGAAGCTGTCCCTATTACAATGGCTAAATTTAAGAGGTGACAGGTGCATCTCGTAATTTGAATATCTGAATCTTCGTTTCTTAAAATGCCTGAAACACCATTCTTTAAGTCTTACCATTACTGGTGCATTATTGGCACCAAATGCTAAGCAATTATCCTAAGGAATTGCATTTACTTTTAAAGTCAAATTTCCTTCTAAAGTGAAAAACAGAAAGTAAACTGTACTGAATTTATAGACACAGGATTAAAAAAAGAAATAACAAGTCAATTGTGCATCATTATTATTGCTTTCATCCATAGAGAGTCAGAATGGAGTTGTTTTAATGCAATCAATAACTGAGGATCTATTTTTCATACCCATTTCTTTAACAAATGCAGCCATTTTTGTCCTTGAGTATTTTTTAGTGATTTTGCTATCAGGAAACATTTTCCTAAATAAACCTGCAGCATGATCTGATGCACTTAGTGGCAGGTTATGCTCCAATAAAAAGGCAGAGAACAAGTATTCTGCATTAATAAATTCTTCGTCCTTTGTTACAACTTATGTTGTCCTTTTGTTTTTGTGTATGCATATGTTTAAAAATATCGATTCTTCCACTGTGCAAAATTAAAGTGTCTCAATGACAGATGGTACTCATTGTAAATGTATTACATTTCCTTAACAAAATAATGGAAGGAAAGTCATCTGTGCACAATTTTTGAAAACTGAATGAGTATATTATCTTTTTCGCAGACATAACTAAGAAAAAAAAAAAATCGAAATTTATTTCTCAAAAGCACATGAAACTCAGAGCACTCAGCTATTTCTCTCTCTCTATCAATTCAAACATCATTGCGATGGTGAGATGAATGAAATAACAACCACGATCTTGCTTTGTGCTCATTGGTGCTCATGTGCTCAGGAATGAAAATATGCCAAATAACCCACACTGGTGCTTGATGCTTACTAGAAAACTGAAACATGATGTTTTCAGGCACATGCGTTCTCAAACACAAAGCATACCATAACATGTCAATGACAAAACGACTTTGGTTTTCTTTTATATGTAACTAGAGAAAAATTAACTGTTTTTAGATGCTAAAAATCACTTTTTGGGGGTGCATATAATGAAGTATTAAGCTAAACTACATAAATGTCATGAGAAACTTTAAGATTAAGAGAAGGGCAAGAGAAATATGCTGTAAATCAGGTTGACAGGAGCACAGTTTGAAATTGAGAGAGTTGGCAACTCTGACATACAAACCGAAAAAATTTTCACATTATCTATTATTTTATATTCACTCTAAAATGCATCATACAAAAGGAAAAGAAAAATAATATTTTAACGATTGAGAACTCATGGCTAGGATGGTAATTTCTTTCTCCTAGCATATATCATTACGTTTCATAGAAATAAAAATCAAAGTTGAATTGTCATATTTACACAGTGTGCATGTAACTAAATTCAGCAAAGAATTATTATAAAATGAATAGTCAGTTATTAACAAGTATTCTCTATTCGTATAAAACTAATTTAAAGTTAAATATAACATACAGGGTGGTCATAAAAAAATCTTCCCTGATATATGAAGCCTTAACAGCCTATCCTCTCAACCAATTGAAATGAAATTTGAGATAGTATTATTTAAAGGTATGCACTCAAGATTGTGATGATTTAAAACCTAGAGCTCTCACAGTTACAGTTATAGTGAAAAAATTTGAAATTTTTGAAAGGCAGCACCCACTTTCTTCCTTGGCTAATTGATCGGTGCATTCGAAAACCATAAATAGTGTTGGAACAATACATATGACACAAATTGCCGATGTTAAAACATTTTCAAAGGAGAGCATTGTAAAGGACTCATGACAACATAGAGAGGATGTGCACTGATGCACTTTACATATTTCACAAGGATAGAGAGTAGAAACACTAATCGCAGAACACCAGGTGCAAAGAATTGCTTGTGAAAACCTTTAAAAAACAGTGTGGATAGACTGTTTCTTCAGTCAAGTGTCTGACGGTGCTAACAAGATGACACACATAGGGAAACAATGGGGTAAGTTGATAAAGATGTTTTATCTGAAAGGGGAAAATACTTATGAGTGAAATCATAAGCTAAGATGCAGCCCATGTTCCACAAAAACTGTATGTGATCTGGTAAAAAAATTTGAAGAAACTGGATGCACATGTAATAGATTGCTATTCAAATTACCATGTGTTCTGTTGAAGATGTTACGAAAGTGCATAATACACTTACTGCAGGTCCATTGCATACTGCAAGAAGTGCTGACTGCAGTTTGGTTGTACCAGAAACTGCAGACCTCAAGCTTCCGTACTCTGTTCTGTGGATGTTTCCTTATTGATTCTGGTGCATTCAGATGTGACACCCTGGAGATGAGCAACTGTGTGTCATCTTTGTGAATTTTTCCTCATCATATATAATGAAGACAGAAGGTAGCTGCTGAGGATATTATGGATGGGTGAAATATACTTCTCCTTAAAATGGAATGTAAATTTCAAAATACACGAAGCAAAAGTGACTGTGTGGGTTTTTCATCACAAACACATTCATTATCAGTCTGTACTTTTTTCCACAGGAATGAAAATGTGCCCCACTGCAAATGCTGAGTATATAATAATGTTGCAGAATTACTTAATTCCAGAATTGCAGCAGCAAAATGTCATTCATGAGACTATATAGCAAGAACGTGCTTCTCCACATGTTGCCACATATGTTTGGCAAGTGGTGCAACAGCACTTCGGAGATAAGAGTGATATCCCTCAACAGTGATCCCTAGAACTCACTCTAATGGAAAACATGGTTTAAGGGTTATCTGAAATGTAACGTGTACACATCAAATGCACAAGATTTGTCAGAATTGAAAGATGGCACAAAATGTGAAGTTATACAAAAATCCTCCTGCAGTGTTATGCTTGTCACTGTTGTCAACAACCTCCCATTATCATCTGCAAAGGTGGGCACACATAATTCCAATAAAAAATGTTTTCCTTTTCCTCTCTTGTGTGGCTCTTTACAATGTTGTTCTTTGCAAATGTTCTATGCTAGCAATTTTCATCATATGTATATTGTTCCAGTGTCATTTATGGTTTTTCATTATGCTGATCAATGCACAAGAAAAAAGGTTGTTGTTCCCATTTGAAAATTTCAAAATTTTTTCACTGTAACCACAATCGTGGAAGCTGTATTGTTTTAAATCACCACAGTCTCAAGAGGCGCTGCGATCACCGAGGCACGCTCGCAGCTCTCCGTAAATAAGTAACAAACATTCCCCTCCTCTTAGTGATTATCAATTAAATTACTTCAAAATATTGTTCCTTCAACAAAATCTACACCCTTTCCAAAGATTTTCATCTCCGTTGTTGATGAGAGCGACAGAGCGGATACTGTGAGGATACAGCCTGGAATTTTGAGATAAGTATCCTTTTTTCATCTAAACTAAATCGTATTTCTATTATAAAAGTGCTTTAAAATTTATTTTTTTTTTCTTTCATCAGGTTTTAGCATTAAGCAATACTCAAAATTGCTCATTGCTTGTGGCTGCTTTTGTCGTAACAATTCTAAACAGATGCTAACGCTATCAGTTCTCGTCTGTCACCAGTTATCCGTTCAAAGCTCCCTTATCTTAATTCAGAAGTCAGAAGTTATCTTGTTTTGAAGACTTTTGTGAAAGGGAAAATGGGGATATTAGGCACGTGTATATTAGGTTGCACCATGCACTACTTTCCTCTCTGATCTTTTTTTTTTTTTTTTTTTTCCTAAATCGCTTAAATACTTTTTTTGTCTTTAAATATTATACCTCATCGATTTTTTTTTTTTTTTTCATACTGTTCTTTGCTATCTGTTTAATATCCAAATGTGAGGGATGGATTATTCTTCATTGCCTTAAATAAATTCTTAGAATTATAAGCTAATATAAATACAGTGTGCCTCAATATGTTAAACTAGCATTAATTAACATGTAATAAATTATGATAGTAAACTGATAATAATTAAACTTGCAATAAATTATGATAGTTAAATTAATAAATAATATGTTTAATTTATGTTTTAATAAATATACTCCATAATTTATATATATATATGTGTGTGTGTGTGTGTGTGTGTGTGTGTGTGCTGTTGTGGTCTTGTTTTGTGTATGGATGTATGTTTTTTGTCTGTTGCTGTATTTTGAAAAATGTATGAAAATGTGGGAACAATAATAGCTAAAGTTACTTAAAATAATATATACCTTTGTCTGATATTACAGGTATATTGCTATTGTATCTCAGGATGAAAGCATACACATTGCCTTGTATTCCATGCTAAATATCTTGATACGAAGCATCTCAACGCTGTCCATTTTCTTTCTATAGCCCACCTTTTTCCCCTCTATTATTTATTATTTTTAGAGCCATTTATTTTAAATTTTATTTTATCCCGTACTTTCTTCCTGGCCTTTCGAACTTGTACAAAATGTACAAAGTTCCTTTTTACTCTCTTTTGAAATATGAAATTGCCCCCCTTTCTATATACCTTTCCTTTGCACTTAAGCTTAATTTTTTGCCCATCGGTGCAGAAAGACTTAGCAGGCACAAAACAAGACGTTTGTCTACTTTGTCTGTCTGTCTCTCTGTCTCTACCTGTCTCAAATGCATACCATCAAACAACAATACTTGAAATTTAATTTCGATTGGTTGGGTTGATAGACTTACAGGTTCGCATATCGGGAAAATTCTTTTATGATCCCCTTATATTTTTACTGTAGAAACTTCACTAAAAATTTCAGTAGGAGACATAATGAAATGGAATTGCTTATTGCAATAAGCTTAAATACTGGACAATATTACCTAATTGGGGGAGCAATATGGTCGTTTTGTTATAAATATTTAAAAACATAATGGAATTAAACATAAAAAAAGTATATATATCTGTTAATTATTGCTAATATAGATAGTTTTTCTTGAATTTACTTACCAATTATCATTCCACAGGGCACAAATGATGCCATAACATCTTTTAAACTATGACTCTTTTTATCCGAAAAATAAAATGTCAGAACAAAACTTGTATTTTGCACAATTGTCAAAGAATAATAGAGACTCATTCGGAATCGAGACTTCCCTTCTTTTAAGTTGAAGAAACAGAAGCAGTAAATGGCTCCAACAACACAATTGTAAAGTCTTTCTTCCCACCATGTTGTACAAAAGTCTGTTTTTTGCATAAAGACCCACACGGTCATGCTCAACCAGTGTAATGCTAGACATATAAAGAAATAAGTTTCAGTGCCACTTGTTTGATATAAATAACAAACCAGAGTTAAAATACATTAATATGAAAAGAATATAATCTCAATGGGAGTAATGTATAATGATGATTCCGAATGAGAAAAATATAATCACTATAAATTTCACAGAAAAGTCAATTAATTTGGTACATGCACACATGATCATTTAGCGGTACTTATGCAATAACAGAGAAGGATTGGCTAACTTTGGCAGTAATTTGATACAATTAGTTATTCTTTGTTTCAAGTGGAGAATGTTTAGCAATCACTTCTGAAACAACTTCAAAGGGTTTTTTTTTACCTTGAGCTACAAGCTTCTGTGACCACATGATCTCTGCTAAGTGTAACTTTAAATCATATTTTGCTGTAACCTCCTTGTTTCTTATTCCACCATTTTGCAGAAACCCATACTCACTCGATATTTTGCATTTGAACTCTGGAATGCAGATCCACAAATGAATTTATGATTCCATTTGAAGAGCTCCAAACTGATTATTGCGAATTCTGCTTTATAGGCGGCTCAGGATTTGGAAGAAATTGTGCCATAAGTGCGTGATCAAATTATAAAGTCCAGAAGGGGGAAAGAATCCATTCTTAAAATTGTGACTCTGGTTTGTTATTTATATCATTCTTAAAACTTAGCAATGCCATACAGTTGCAAAAGCATACTTGCCAACCTATGATAAAAAATCAGGAGATTTTTCACAATGTTAAAAAGACTTTTTAAATGATAAAAATATAGTTTTTAATAATGACGTAACTTTAAATAGTTATTAATTCTTAAATGCAAGCAACACAATACTTTACACATAAAAACATTTTTATTACTTGCATCGTTTAAGAAAACAAAACAAAAGAAGACACTTTAATCAGTTTTCATACAAATGATATGAACAGTGGCAGATTTTGCTTTTGTTAAGAAAGAAACTTCATAATTTTGTTCATAGCAATTGCAATGTAGGCCTGCTTTCGCTAATAAAAGTTTTTCTAATGTGTCATCACTAATATTAGATCTAAATTTAGTCCTCGTTTTCACAACAACGCTGAAAATCCTCTCATACTCTGCATTACTATGGGGAACTGTCAAGATGGCGAACATGATTCTAGACAGGTCACTATATTTTAAAATTCTATCAGCACCTCTCAGTTTTCCAATTAAACTCCACTGGGTGTCAATCCTAGCTGATTTTATAAGTTCATCCAAGTTCTCTAATTGTAAACTGCAAAATTGCGACTGCAATATATCAGTGGCTACATCAATATCATCATCTTTTTATGACTAAATGAAGTAACACAGGAAATCTGTTCAAAAAGTACCTTATATCAGAAAAAGATTCATTTGCTAGAGCAGAAACATCCACAACTTTAGCATGTAAAATCACTTCATCGTTGAATGGAAATTTATGTAGTATGTAATCACATACTCGACAGAAATAACTTCGAACATGAAGATAAAACTTATTTTTGTCTTCTTCTGAAAGTTCTTCCACTACTTTTGTAGTTGCAGCTCCTATTACCAAATCTTCATCTTTCTTCAGATTTTCTATTTTGCCATAAATCAGATCATACATAGAATTACAAGACAAAACACAGACTGGTTTTACAAACTTTGATAAAATGTCTTTAAAAAGATCATAAATCAGTGATTGCAAAACATGAATTAATGGAATTCTGCTTTGTAAAACCGTGTTAAGAACATCAAATGATGGCAAAATGAATTGTAAAAAAAAAAGCAAAAAGTTTTGTTAAAGTCCGAAGGAAAAAACAGAAATATTCATTCTTCACAAGATAAATTTGCAGTAATCAGAAAATGTACTCACACAACTCAGGACAAGATGAACAAAATAACTAAAAATCCAAATAATAGCCTTGAGCTTGCTTTGTGCTCATTGGCTAATATATACCAGATGACACACAGTGGAGCTCGATGCCCACTCAAGAACTGGAGAACGACGTTTTTGGATATATATGCTCTCACTCGCAAAGCAGAAATTCTCATCTGATTTGCAAGGTTTTGTTTTAGATATAATCTAGAGAAAATTAAATTGCTTTCAGACGTCCAAAATCACTTTTGTTCATATATGCCAAGTTCCATAAAAATCATAAGAAATATTAAGAATAAGAAAAACTCGGGAGAAATATACTGTACATCGGGTTAGCGGGAGAGCGGTCGAAAATCGGGAGAGTTGGCAACTCTGCAACAATGATTAATTTGTGTTATGGTGATAAAGTTGGCAAGTATTTACTCTTTTTTGGTGAGTATTGGCTTTTTTTCCATTAACCTATAAGTACCCATTTAATTATGATTTAGTATTATTTAATCAGGTGAGGCTGTTCTTATTTACACTACCAGAATGGGCAATATTGGGAATTTAAATGCCTCTGAACATGGTTGATAAATGGTACAAAACACAATCTACAGTCAAACCCCTGTATCTACAGAGTATCTGTTAGTGTTCCAGTTACTGTGTTTCCAGTTACTCATGACTCATAATGAGGGAGAGAAGTTCTCTGAAGTTTCAAAATATACACCACGTAACTTGTGGCCAAATGTGAAACACAGTCATTGAAAAAACTTAAACACTACATTCAATCACAACTACACTGCTGGCCGTCCACCCAAATTGCAACACCAAGAAAGACAAGAGATATCACAGCAAAATTTATTTAGTAGATAACATGTTGACCAAGTATCAAATGGTTAAATGTATAGACTTCTGTGAAGTGTGGTTCCTTCCAGAATCAAGTAGCCAGAGTAGCCGCCATTGTTGGAGATCACCACTGCCACACGCTCTCAACACTGATTCAAAGAGACTTTGGATGTGTTCTTGGGGTAGACAGCAGACCAAGAAAGCTTCCACACGTTGCCAAAGTTGATCTAGTGTGGCAGCTTGGGATGTAATCTGGGTCAGTCGTTCAGCAACCATGGACCATATGTTTTCTATTGGTGAAAGATCCGGAGAGAAAGCCGGCCAGGGAAGCAATTCAAATCTGGCAATTGACGAAGAACCCTTGGACAATGCATGCCACGTATGGTCGCACATTATTCTGTTGAAATATGGCTGTGGGCAAGCCCTGAAGGTAAGGAAGGACAACTGGCTCCAACACTTCGGAGATGTAGCGCTGGCTGTTTAAAGTACCGGCAATGCATATTAGAGGAGTGTGAGAGTGATATCCAATACCACCCTATACCATAATACCTGGTGCAGGACCAGTGTGGCAGTACATAACGCAGCTGTTCAGCATCCTCTCTCCACAGTGTCTCCAGACTCGAATCCGACCATCGTAGTGCTGCAGGCAGAAAGTAAAGACAATTTCATTCCATTCTGCCATCCATATCCTTCTTTCATCGCACCATTGGCTGCAGAGACGTCTATGGTTCTGCGTCAAGGGTAGATGAAGTAATGGATGTCTTGCGGACAGACCACTCTGCTGTAAACGCCGTCAAATGGTACGCTCAGACACTGGATGATGTGTTACAGACTAAATGTGCTGTGCTTTGGTTCGTGATGTGACTGAGCGATCCATCACTGCCATGCACACAATGTTCCTGTCATCACATGAAGTGGTGCACTGAGGTGGATGCGATCGAACATGTCGGTCCATCGTACCCTCGTGCATCCAACGGTCACATATCCACATTACAGTTGTTTGGTTTTGTTCAACACGACTACCGATTTCCCTGAAAGACAATCCACACTCTCGGCAGGCCACTATCCTTCCTCTGTTGAACTCGGATACTTGATCAAACGATGATCGCTGTTTACTACGAGGCATAATTGATCGTTTTTATGAAAAAAAACAATTGTCTAACTTCAAATCATCAAAAACTCCGAGCCTTAAATAGCACTTTGAAGTGGCGCCACAGGCGCACGAGATGTGTGTCAACACTGAAATTCTAATCATTTGCATATCTTACCTCTGCTAATGCATGTTGTAAATTTCATTATTTGCATGCTTCCTTCAGGGTGTTGCATTTATGGTGACCAGCAGTGTATATGCCTGTGCATACACTTTCCTAATGAATGTAACCAAATGAGAGAAAAGTATGAAAATGGTCATCTTTGGAAGCTTGTGTACATTCTAAGGTTACAAGTCACTTCTCTTACAATCATACATTTTATTTGATCTTCCCCATATAACAATTATAAAAAGGTCAGCAGGGAGCACTACTATCATTGGCAAAACATCTGATTCTTTCCCTTCTGACCCATATACAAATTTTACTGTTAAATTTCTCCCTTACTTTTAATATTCTCCCTGTTCCCCTTAGTGGTATTATATTCTAAATCTTTAATTTACATTACAGTGGTTTCAAAGCATAACAGTAGTGATGCTACTGAAAAGGAATAAATTGCAAGAAAAAATTGTTATATCTGTTTTAATGTCGTATATTTATGCTATTTTTCAACTTTTTAACAACTTTGAAATCTATGATTTGTGAAAACTCCTGACATGATGGTGAAAAATGAAGAATACTTTCAAATTCAGTAGTAAAAAATACATAAGAACCAATTATCAAAAGATAAAAAACATAACCATTGCAAGCTTGTGGAACATTATTTAAGTCATTTGACTTGAATAACATAGCAGGTGTATTTCAGAAACTATTAGATAAAATTATTTAATAAAATAAAATCTTTGTTAAATTAAGTAGGAAATATTTTTAATTAAGAAGGTGTTAACTAAAATCAAATATCAGAATGAACATTTGATTTGACTTTTTTGAATTTAGCAAAGGAAATAAAATTAACAGAAGGTGTTGAAGGGTAGTTTTTATGTAAAACTAGAATGGCAATAGTGATTAAAACGTTTTAGCAGTTTCCTATCCTGTAAAGTGTTTTAGTTCTGTGTTATGCAATGTGACAAGATGGGCCAAAATAAAATATATAAAATGAAATTTGTTTTCCATTTAGGTTAATTTTTTTGTTTTCAGATAGATCAATAAGCAAAGAACAATTAACAAAATCAT